GTTGTAAACCAACTAGTAGATGAAATAGAGAAGAGACAGCCCATATAGATAAAAGGACGAAAATCTCGGACAACCTCTCTAAAATAGCTTTATATTTTTTAACCTAACAGTACATATAATAATTCTGATATCTCTGCCCTTCTTTCTTTTAATTCGTCTCCACACATCCATCCACGAAAGTTTTGGGATTTTCATCTGGATTCCGCTGCTGCTTGACGATTTTCTTCTATCTTAATAAGTGTCGTTGAATGCTGCTTCAATCGATTCTCCTTGAAATCCTGAGATAGCCGTGCTAGAGAGTCACTAGCTGAATCGGGAAGAGCTTTCCAGAAAAGTTTGGTCCAAATTCCTAGCCCTAATAGGATGAGGGGCTTGGTTTGTTTGACGTGGAGTGGAGCCAAAGCCCTGAGCCACCACTTGCATTCTTATAACTAAATTTCTATTATTACTTCACTATTCTACTTCTACTTTTAGTTTTTCTACTTTTATGTTTTATCGAAGTGTTCTTCCGTACTTTTTATTTTTATTCTTATTTTTTATTTGTCTCTTTATTTCATCTCTATTCCTTTAGTTTCTATTTTTTATATTTTTACTACTATATTTTTGTTGGCATTGTTCACTAATACTATTTTCTACTTTTTATGCAACGCTACGGTGGTGTGAACAACAATACTACTGAATCGTTCAACAGTAAGACTGGTAAATGACATTTTTGGAATTCTAGTGTAAGGCCCGACGATTTCGAAATTTCTCGTAGAATTGATGATGAGATGAAGGAAAGGACAGAATGTCGTAGTAAGGAGGTATAATTTTTGGTCAGTTTTCAACTACGAATGTCAAGCACTTAGTGTTTATTTCCAGTCTTTCGATGAAACAAGTTCTTTGAGCACTATGAAAGAACCGAAGAAAAAAATATCTCGCCAAAAACTCAAAGCTTGTCCACGTCCACTGTCTGCCGGCGGTGCTAGGAGTGAAATTGGGGCTTCTGTAAGCTTATTCGATTGTGATTCCAGCATTATGGACTACGTAATCAAGCCTCACGTGTGGTGCAACTTGAAACTTCTAGGCTATCGTAGAACAAATCCGGTTGGATAATGGAGAAAATATCGAGTTTGAAAAAGAACGTGGACCTGTTCCACAGACAACATCAGAAGGAATAACAGAAGACACCGAGGCTGGACCCTTCACTTTTTTTCTTCCGTATTCTATGGCTTCTAATGTCTCTAGTGAGTTCTGCGCACGCTTATTCCCACTTGTTCTCGTTTAATTAAAAATGGTGAGATAGCTCTTTGGTTTGTATCACATTGGGCCGAGTGTATGCATGAGTGTCGACCCGTGCTGCACATCGTAGTGTTCGTCGCCAAAGTCCGATCACTCATGCTGGAAAGATGATGAACTTTTACGTATCTATGTTCACGAAGAATAAATTAATTCCAGAAGTCGTTTTCATTCTGGAATATACCTTGTCTTAAAATGGCAGTTTCGCGGATTCACTGATTCGAGGACTTTCTACGTGAGGACCGGGTGGCACTTTGGCACAAGTTTTTAGGAATTCCAAGGAAAACTCTTACTTGCTTGCCACCTCAGCTGGGGATATTCCTGAGTTTCGAAGAGCCGTGTAAAGCGTGTGAATCATCCTACCACCAAAGTTACTTTTTGGTGAGATATCGACATTCCCAGGCTACTTTAATAAGAGTAAACCTATATTCATGGTATTTTTCATCCTCGTTCATTAATTAAGCCTATTCCACTAAGCAGATTTGGTGCTCGATAAAGAATACGAACTTTACTATTGCCGGCACTAATTACTCATCCATTAACGGGTTAGGTGATGTGGCGGTAAGAAATTTCTCCTGACACTAATATGCCAGCTATATTGGAATTCCCATAGTTCTTCGTGAAGAATGGTGATTTATTCAGAGGAAGGTTTCTATCTGCTTGCTGTCTGTCATCCACAAACTTTTCACTCGAGTCATCCTAAAAGTATTGACAGAACATTGGACAAAGGACAGCCGTATGAGCAAGCAGGGTTTCGAAAAGGATTTAGTACGATGGACCACATCCACACGATAACAAGGTTCACTGAAGTATCGCAACAGTACAAAAGACCACTCTGTCTTACTTCCATCGATTTACAGAAGGCCTTTGATTCAGTTGAGATAGAAACTGTCTTGGAAACCCTTGATATTCAAGGAGTCCCTACTCAGTACATAAAGGTTCTTCGTGAGTGAACTCTACTAAAATTTTGCAACCAAAGTATCACCATTCTACAACGACATTAACATTGACGTCAAAGGAGGAGTTAGGGAAGGTGATACCATCTCGCCAAAATTATTTACCGCCACCCTCCAGAACGTCATGCGAACGGTGGAATGCGATAACATGGGAGTGAAAATCGACGGTCGGCAGTTACACCATATTCGCTTTGCTGATGACATCGTCCTTATAACACCAAACATTAGCCAAGTGGAATGTATGCTTGACGACTTTGATAAAGCCTGTGGAAATATTGGTCTTCGACTAAATTTCACAAAAACGATGTTCATGAAGAACGGATTGGTTTCGTACGCCCATTCACGCTCAACGGAACGAATATTTCCGAATGCTCCAGTTCTAACTATCTAGGTCGGGAAATCAATATGATGAAAGACCTAGCACCAGAGCTGAGCAAAAGGAAACGAGCGGCTTGGGGAGCTTTCAAGAGCATCCAGGATGTAATGAAGAAAACAAAGAGCATCCGACTATGTGCCCACCTTTTCGACTCAACGGTACTTCCTGCCCTAACGTATGCGTCAGAAACCTGGTCGCTTCGTAAGCAGGATGAAAGATCATTCAGCGTTGTCGAACGCGCAGTCGAAAGGACGATGCTAGGAGTATCCCGTTCCACATAAGTAAGGGATGGGATCCGAAGCTCCGACCTACGTCAACGATCAAAAATCAAAGATGCCGTTCTGTACGCCAAACAGTCGAAGATAAGGTGAGCTGGATACGTAATGCGTATAAATGACAACCGATGGACAAAAGCCGTTAGTGCCTGGATTCCTCGGGATGTTAAACGCACTGCTGGAAGACCACCGACTCGATGGTCAGACTTGTTCACGAAAAACCTAGAAGAAAGATATGATGATCGACGAGTCCCTAGAGCGAGCAGAACCTACTGGGCTACTTTTGCACGCGTCTGGGAAAAATGGAAGATTTACTGGCGCCCACTCGAGTCACTCGACGATCAACGGGACTACTGTGATACAGGTGAAGGTTCCTGTATACAATTTCGTAGTATTACTCACGTTTTCCTAACAGTTCTCACCGTTGGTGAACTCCATGCTCTTTATCTACCTATTTTTTTGCGTTATTGATCATTGTACCACTTTACATTGAGAGCTTGATCTGCAATGGTAAATCGGATTTGAATGAAATGTTCTAGATCAGTCTGCCGTCACATCTGTACAGTATTTTTCAAGAAAATCTGAGTGTTCAAGAGAATTGAACACGGACGAAATCAGGAAAAGGGAACGTAGAAGAGTCCAAGATGATGTGCGATCAATTCGACGTAAACAACAATCATCTAGAAGTTCTAAGAAGGCTCGAACTGATATTGGTGAGGCGCCATTTGTATCTTATGTGAAAAAATTTGACTTAAAACATTAAAGATCAAATTTTAACGAGCACGTGCAGCGAAGTGGTCGGAAACGTGAAATCCCCGCGCCTCAGGTTTACCATGCCCTTCATCACTCCGGCGTCGAGAAATTGGTACCAGACTTGTCTGAGAGGATAGCAGCACTGGCTCGATACATCGGTAGACCACCGCGAGTCATTGTAAAAGCCAGATATGCATTCAGTCACCTCCAACGATGCTTAATGATGTCAAATACATGGCGCATCCCTCAGGGATTGATCAACGCCGAAGGTTCTATCTTCTATTTTTATTTTACAAAAAAGGTTTTGCTTTTCTGCACTTATATGAAGCTGTTTATCATTTGGAACTACATAAAGCCACTCAATAGGTGTAATGTGTGTTCAAAGAGATATATCACACTGAGAGGGACGAGGGAGTTGTGATTTCTGGTTGCATACTGGAACCAACTTTTAATTGTCCTTAAAATAGGAGTTTTGTTTGAATTCACTTTATTATAACCTATTCCAAAATCGTTTTATTGTGCTCATTGAATGATCACAAATCTCTGCATAAGTTGGATAAGGTGAATGCAGAGGTTTTAGTAATTTTAAAACATTGTCTTCTCTTCTTCTAACGTTTTTTCTCGCCAAATTTGACTGATTTGAATTGTCACGTTTTCTATGTGGTGACGTGCGAAAGTGCTAAACTTAGGCTTTCTGCGTTCCACCAAGCTATAAAAGAGCGAGTTTTCAATGATAATGGATGATTGCAGGAGAATTGCACCCTTCCTGGGTTGCCCGGAAACGGGCTAAAGAATTGCTGCGACTGGCACCCAAAGGAAAAAGGATAGTGTTCAGTGATGATTAGATATTTCATTGTTATGTTGACGCTATTAAGACAGTGTTTTTGTTTGAACAAGGATATATGGTTTTTTTTAATGATGAGCGATTTGATGCCTTATTTCAGGAAAGTAGAATTCAGTCCATTCTTTTTATTTCATTTTTGTACCTCCTTTTCTCGAACATTGCGTGACAAATAGTCTTCTTCATCCTTTGTGTAAAGGTATCTTACGGTGGACCAATTAATCATGTTCTATGTTTTGTATGAACTAAAAAAATTCATATTTTCATACATACATTGTGAAATTAAAAAAATACATCTAAGTGAAGAGTCGGTAGACTGGAGGGTGCATATTGTCCGTCTTATGAGCTTCATCCACATATTGCTTTGTCTCGCTTTATGGTATAGTGTCCAGCAAAATAAAGAATGAGTGTGACCATGACGATAGTATCTCAATCCCGAAAATCAATACAGGCGTTGCCACTTGTCTGTGCACAAACTGGTTTAGATAAGGTATTACCACACATAGGTCGTCGGGCCATTATCAATGCGCCGGGTGGTGGTCTTAGTGCATGGGTGGGCCATTCCTGGGACCTCCTTCCACGGCATCGATAACCTTGCAACGACAGCAGCCGCGACTCGTTGCTTGACGTCTCAACGGCCGATCAGAATGGTGAGTGTCGGCGGCTTTGTGTGCTGCTTCTTGTCTCTGTGATTCGTGATATTGTACCCTTAGGAATATTACCACATTGCATCGATAAATTGTCGATTATTACGTGTTTTGCTTTTCAAATCTTGAAATTTTCGAAGAGCGCTGGGAGAGTAAGAGCGAAGAATATCTGTTGTCTCCTAGTAACTTACGTAGCCCTTACATAGTCTTCATGTTCATTGTTCAATGTGGTCCCGCAAGGGTATTTTGTAACCCTTTTCAGAAACTAAGCGATCAGCAGCGAACGGAGTTATTAAGACCAATATTAGCACAAGGATGGAAAACGGTGGAAGGACGCGATGCAATAAGAAAAGAGTTTCAATTCAAGGATTTCAATGAGGTGGGTTTGACTTTAACGAATCAAGAAGATCATATTACGGTTGATTAAAGTGCTATTAGAACTCTGGCGATGTAGTAAGCTAGCATAAGAGCTGAACACCCTTGCTATTACGACAAATTATTGGACTTGGGCCGTTTCTTGGTCCAGAAGTCGTTCGAGGTGCTGTTGACATATTGCCGAGCTATGTGCTTCAAATGTCAAACTGCTTGTTGAGATGTCGAGTTCCTTTGTAGATGATTCATTAGATGTAGCAGTTCCCAAGACCGACTTTCTGTTATCCTTGGCATTGATTGATAATTCGATGTTTTTCTTCAATAAGCAGACACAAGGTTGTTATTATCGAATTTATTAAGATACAATAGCTGACGTTTCGGCGGTTTCGCCTTCTTCAGAGCCTGGATAGGTTAATTTGAGATGCGATCTACTCAGCCAAAGACTTCCATAACCCTAGCAGATAAAACTTTTTTATCTTTTATCTTTTATTTTTTTATAATAATAACAAGGGTACTTAGCTCTTATGCTAGCTTACTACATCGCCGGTGTTCTACCAGCAAACCGTAATTTACCGTAACCGCAGCAAACTGTGATCAACTGTGATTTGATCTTCTAATAAATTCTATAATAACAACCTCATGCCTGCTTATTGAAGAAAAACATCGATTCATTAGATATCACACTACTCTGATGAGAACAAAGACTTGGATTGAAGGTTGGAAGGAAATCTGTCGTTTTTCTCTAGTATCATAATGAGCACTATTTGTTCACTATTAAAAACATGACTGAGAGAAAGGCGAAACGAAGGACCGGCATGGTGTGGTGGTGAACGCGTTAGCCAAGGGAAAGGATAACAGCGTGTTCGGTCTCCACCGCAAACACTATCGGTCCGGAGTTTTGAAAGCATCTCAGCATCGTTAAGATTATATTAGCAAATAGTTGCACTATTTATAAGATAACGGAACTTCTGAATACTTAACACGAAAACTGTTCGAGGCGACGGGACAGCAGTGTAAGAAGTGCATGAGTATATTTACCGAGTAACGAAAAAGGATTTAAAACGTTCTAACGCAAATTGTTGAAAGGCTAGAATTACAGTTCCAATACCAATGGGCTTCACATTGAACTGCCTTGAAGCGCTCATCGAAATGAAAATGTCGATCAGGACGTGTTACTTGACGGAAATAACTTCGCATAAGAAGACATTGAAATAGATGATTTATTATATCTGCTTCATTGAATTGAGTAGTGAGATAAAAATAAGGATAGAGTTCTTGGCGTTGATCAAGCTCTTTGTGATGCGCCATTCAGTCGACTTCGCTAAGCATCGTTTAGAGGTGAATGAATGCATACCTGGCCTTTACAATGACTCGCGACGGCTACCGATGCATCGAGCTACTGCTGCTATCCTCGCAGACAGGTCTGGTACCAATTTGCAACCCTGGAGGGATGGAACACTTGTTGGGCCATGGGCGCGGGGATTGACTCCACGTGTGTTACAGGACGCCTCCAACCACTGTACCACACAAGCCATTGTAGTGAGGTGAGAATCGGAAAACTAAGAGCTCCTTTTGGTGACTTTACTACAAAAATAACCTGTCAGGAAAGTTGGTTTGAAATCCGGGACTTCAGCTCTAGTATATTTCGACAAGGTAAACTGGCATACCCGCAAATAATTTAAAATTCGAAGAACATGTAGAAGTTTATTGTGTCAGAAGTGTTTAAAATCCTTCCTATAAAGAAGACGATGGAGATGAATAAGGAATAATCCAACTTAGATGATTTGTCGATTTTAAAAATGTACCAGTCACTCTCTGCTGTCCAATTGAGAACGGTCCAGCCCGACTATCTCAGAACTCAAAGGAGAATCGCTCGATCGGCATTCTACGACATTCAAAATGAAATAAAAATCCTCAAGCAGCAACAGAAGTCAAACGTAAAGGTTGGAAGACCTTTGTGGACAGCGGATTCGAGGAAACGAATCGAATGTGAGAAGTGCTGGGATCTGCACAGTAGACGTGAAGACGGGTCATATAAAGTAAAAAATGTATCTACTCTCATGGTCCCGGTGTAACTTCTCATTCACGGTTGGTTAGCACGTTTTGAACCTATCGCATGCGTTTCTGGTAAATGATGGCGGGAAAGAAATCGTCAGTGTTCTATTTTCTCCGGATTGTGTTAATGATACACTTAATCTCGTGCCACTGCATTCCAATTTTGTCTCGAGGTTTGTTGTTAGTACTTTCTCGTGCGCCATGTATTTTCCCACTCTTCTCGAGAGGAACTCGCCATATTACTGTCCTTCTCGTGTAGGAATAGTTGATTCCGGTCGCTTCAGAAACTCGAAGAATATACTTTCTCTTCAGCATTTTCATTTAAAAAAAATCTGAGCGTTATTTGGTGATCCCCCGCTGCTCATCACATGCTTGTATTACAGATTCTCTAGTTTTTGAGGTCGGAATCCCAGATCTCCATATTCTTTTAAATTATAGGGGATGCATATAACTTCGCTCTTTCCTTAACGCAAAAATGCTGAATGATCCTTCATTGTGCTTATGTGTCACCCAGGTCCTCCAGGCATACTGAAATGGGGAATGGATGGTGGAGTTGAAAAGGAAACGTGGAGGTAATACCTCCTTGCTTTCTTCACTACATCCTTGGTGTGCTGGTAAACTCATTAAGCGGTTTATTTTCTCTTGCCCTGAACTAATTCAAAGTCGTCCGCAATGTTAACTTCATAAAATTAACATTCATAACTAGAGCATTAGGACATATTTGTACTGTTGAGCGTAAGTGGCGCACCAAGAAGAAATCCGTTTCTTGCGAGCGCCATGTTCGTAGGATTCAATCAAGGACCAATTTTCCCACAAATGTGGTTCGAATCGGCCAGATTCCTTCAGCATGACTAATGCTTGATGTTAAAGATACTGTTAAGAAAACGAAGATAGTGAATCTGTCGGAAATCGACATTTATTCTCATATTATCCTATTGTACTGCTTTTATATCATTCTTTAGGGCAGCTAGCACTAGGAATTCAGAAAGTCAATGCTATTTCACCAGAACTATCATTTGGTCAGTGGTAAAGCTTTTATAGAATTTTGAAATCCTGCTATAGAGTCGTTCTATAGCTTGTGAGTGAATAATACGTAGTGGTTGGTAGTCTTCCCGGTTACCTTATCGTAGTTTCCTCTGTCTGAGCGCTACTATGATGTGCTCTATCTCATTGTGGTTCTTTCCCCATTTGGAGCCATCCACGTTGAAGTTGAGAGTGCGACATACAGAATTGTCGGCCTGTCGTTCCGTTGATCGTCGAGTGGCTCGAGCTAGTATCAGTAGACCCTTCATTTCTGCTTGCCACGTACAAGCGTAGCCCAATAGGCACTGCTCGCTCTAGGGGCTCGTTGAGCATCATACTTTTCTTCTAAGGTTTCCGTAAAGAGCTCTGACCGTCGGGTCGCCGGTTTTCCTGCAGTACGTTTGACATCCGTAGAGCGAGCATCCGGTCACTAACGGTTTCGTCCATCGGTTGTCGTTCATACGCATTACGTGTTCGGTCCACCTTATCTTCGACAAATTGGCGTGTAGAACGCATCTTTGACTTTTTGGTCATCACTATAAACTCAAACATCAGCTCTGTTCATTTCATTCTAATTTGTAGGGACCCAACGTGAAGTTCTTCAAACGTTTTCTTGGTGTCAGTCTTGGCGTTGAAGTCGCCAATTCGTCTCTTATCCACGTTTTATCTCTATCGTCTACTTATGGTCGCGTCTGACGGGCTAGCGTCCCCTCAGTGGAGATTCGTGGGGATCAGCACTAGGTGCGATAACTCGGACCCTATGTTGGAGGGTAGTGTTTGGTGACACCAGTTTGTGTTGCATTGTCTAGCAACAAATTTTCGATTCTTTGATTCTTTGTTGTGATTTAGGCGTTCGGCTTTATGACTCAAGTGGCGCTAAAAGCTGAGAAGATGGATCATCATCCTGAATGGTTCAATGTTTACAATAAGGTATATGATTAACACTATAGATAGGTGTAATATATACCGAAGGTTTGCGTAATTCCTCATTTTCTTTCGACTGTTTGAAGAAGGAGCTTCAGATCAATAGAGAGTAACGTGTCATCGATTTCCTCCTATACAAAAAATATATATGGATCCTAAAAGAAAAGAGGTGGGAAATATAAATCCTAAATTACGAAGAATGTGCCCTTCCATCATTAGGTTGTTTATTGGTGGTCTCTCTCTCTCTCACTCTCGCTCTACATCACCTCCTCTTCTCATTTTTAAATAACGTTTACCAAAATTACTATCGTGCGTGACATTCTAAATTACACAAAGCGTTGTCTTATGCAGTAAAAGACTCTTTACAACTAGTGGAAGTTTGTCTAAGGTTTTTAGGGCTTAAAAAATAAGTCCCCTTAGAGTTGATGGCAATGAATTGTTTTCATGAAGTGTCTTTCCTTCTCTTCATTCTGTGCTCTTTCACAGGTGAAATACTCGAAATCAGATTCCTTCTGTTATGCTTTACTGCTTCAGGTGGATATTACACTGAGCACTCATGATTGTAATGGTTTATCGCAGAAAGACATCACACTCGCCAAATTTATCGACTCTGTGAAGAAGTGATCGACCTTCCCTTTCAATATTATCAGAATTTGTTCTTCGGTTGGTAAAAAATTGGTTTTTTTTCCACTGCTCTCTTCGTTGATACTTAGTGAGTAAGAAATGCTGTTATCGTAGAAGATAATATAGTAAAACCACAGACACAATCGAATTTTTAAAAAATGAAGATCTTAGCAAAAGTGTTTACACCTTCTGCTTGTCCTCGTTGACCGTTTTCAACGCCTTCTGTCTTCGAAATTTCCCTCTTAAATCCAGAAGGATTACTTTATATTTCGGTGTGAGATCAATGTTTCATCATCACCGCTACTTTTATAACATTAAGGGTCAAATATGGTGAAGAACATCCCACTAGATGCGTCGTTTCATTCTGGTTGCACAGCTTTTTCGCTGGGAATTTTATATTCAGTTAATGGCCTATGGATATGTTTCGCCAAGCGTGGTCCTTAAAAAGCTGTTCTATACACTTAATAACTGACAGGAGACCACTTGTTGTTCGAACTTGTTCTTTCGACGCGGAGGCTGTTTCCGATAGAAGATGCCAATCTATATGGCACCTCATAACGCGGGGACCGTTGACGGTCAGGGTAGTACTATAGTAGGCTACTCCGACGCAAGTACAAAATGCGGGCGCACCAATGTGCTTGCATGCCACTGTGTATTTTGAGACCCTCTTTTTTAGGATCCTCTTTATATGTTTTATGAGAAAAAACGGCGGTTATACCACATAAATAACAAAGATAGCAAAAATAAGTTTTAGATAGCTGAAATACTAATAACCAGTACTAGGATCCACAAAGGCGGCAATTGCCTGTGGTGATAACTGCCAGGGCCATACCTTGGCTAGGCTGACCTCGGGACTCCAGAGAGCCATAATAGCTAAATCAGCAAAATTCTGAAAAAATGGAAATTGGGCTGGGGTCCGTACAACCAGTGAAGACGGATCATCAAAGTATCCAAGTAAAATACTGGTAAACTATCACACGAAAAGGGTCTAAAAACCTGCATTTCCTCACAACTATTTGTTTTTTTGTGACATCGTCATATAAACGCGTTTTTCTTCAATCAGGTAGCACTCTTTTATTTCAGACTTCTTAAACAGAACCAGAACTGACATTCAAAGGCACTATGTGCCAATTTCAGTGGCAGATCAATAAGTCACAATAATGCGCGCAAAATAAGGCCTCTGAACAGAAGCTAAACAGCCAGGCACCATAGAGTGTGATATTGCTGCGCTAGGCAGTAGCCGTGTACCCCAAAATAATAGCAGGTTAACATCTACAACAATACGTCGTCCAACATCCCCTCTGGTATTGTAAGTCAAATTCGCCAGCGAATAAACAGCTTGGACCATTAAAACAAATATAAAGTATTAATAATACATAAAGGAGACTAGATTAAGGACCATCGTATTCTATGCAGAGGAGATTTCTAAAAACAATGTGGTACCAGTCAAACAACACAGAGTTCTCAGTAACATTAACAAGAAATTAGAGGAATATGTAGACTACAAAGAAATAAAAGACATCTACTACCTCTACATTCAACTTTTTAACACTGTACTGTGGACTAGAAAAGGCTTTTACTGCATATGCATGAAGTGTCCATCTATCTCATAAAGGAGAAACGTCTCTGTTAAGAATAAAATCGAAGCACCTCCAGACACTGAACTAATGCGAACTGGGCTTTCTGACATTCCAGTACAGGCTACCTCGCATTTCGTACAAACGCGACACCGTTCGTACATAGGCAAAAGCTTCCTCTTCTCCAGAGAAAACGTTTGCTCTGGCGGTATCCTGAAAAGTTTATAAGATCTGTACTTGCAATATGCTGATTCCTACTGGAACATCATGGCAAACATATACGTACGCTGCCCTCCTTGACTTCCAAATCATCCATAAGAACTCTCTGCGAGTCACTCAACGATCCCATATCATTTGTGTCTTCTTCCAACAAGAAAAGACCTTCTGGAGGAGCATCTGCACTGACAACGAGTCGAACCTAAGCATGAATAATTGGGAACAAATCCTAAAATCCAGAGACAACGAAAAAATCACAATATTCGACCTAGGCTTTAGCTATCCATACTTTTTTTCGAGCAATAAATCAAACGAAAATAAGGAAAAATAAAGTGCAAAGGACAAACTAGACGTGTTGGGCATTGACTTAAAAAAGACTGTGGAATCCATAGAAAGTACCTTTTGGTCGTAGAACGTGTCTATCATTGTTATAAATCGTCTTGCCTCGTTTATCTTCGAACAGGTTAGTACAGGAACATTGCGAAGTATAATAGTATGGAAAACCCTGGCTAGTACAAGATAATCAGCGGCACCGCATGGTCGCTCACACCACTGAAACAGATTATTTATTTAAAGTCTCCAACTTCAAGCAGCACATTAGGCTTAGTGTGCAAGAAAGTGTTCCTTTAAGCAAAGTTAAGCCAGACGCAGTAGCATCAAACACCACTAACACCACATGTTTCTTATAAGCGCCCTTTTCGTGTGAGAGGGGTGAGAGGAGAGGTAATGAACCAAGATGAATGACTCCGCAATGCAAGCCATATTCGAACTCTTTACACAACACGAAGGAGAAATAAACATGTATGGCTTCAGGATAGAGCACCTGATGGCACTCTTAAAAGAATGCTTGGGCTGCTCAATCTTCAGATGGTCTGGAAAGTACTATGCTCAAATAAGAGAGTTGGCAATGGGACAACGACTGGCTCCAAGCCTTGCCATTGCATTTATATCTAAGGTGAAAGCACCGGTGACTGATCTCGGGCCGCTACTCTACTGTAGGTATGTAGACGACTGCTTTGTCCTTTGCTCAACACAAGAGGAATTGGACAAATGCTTCGAATTGTTAAACGCACAGTCAGAGTATATCAAGTTCACCCGAGAAAAGCCGAAAGAAAAATGGCTTCCATTTTTTAACGTACAAATTCACCTATCAGAAAATGGCTACATTACAAAATGGTACCGAAAGCCAAGTAGTAAAAACATCTTGGTTCATTACCTCTCCTCTCACCCCTCTCACACGAAAAGNAAGCCTTGCCATTGCATTTATATCTAAGGTGAAAGCACCGGTGACTGATCTCGGGCCGCTACTCTACTGTAGGTATGTAGACGACTGCTTTGTCCTTTGCTCAACACAAGAGGAATTGGACAAATGCTTCGAATTGTTAAACGCACAGTCAGAGTATATCAAGTTCACCCGAGAAAAGCCGAAAGAAAAATGGCTTCCATTTTTTAACGTACAAATTCACCTATCAGAAAATGGCTACATTACAAAATGGTACCGAAAGCCAAGTAGTAAAAACATCTTGGTTCATTACCTCTCCTCTCACCCCTCTCACACGAAAAGGGCGCTTATAAGAACATGTTTCGAACGGCAACCAACGTGTGCACGAGAAGAGAGCAGAGAGAGGAGTCCCGGAACTTGGCACGGCAAATAGCCATTTCTAATGGTTACGAAACTGTAGCTCAGAATAGGTGTAGAGGAAATCGTAGGCCTCCAAACGACAACTCTAGCGATAGAAGGGTCCCGTTTATCCTACCCTTCATCTCAAATGATATAAGTACAGCTATAAAACGCTGCTTAAGAAGGGCGAGCTTAGAGAATTCGCCGAGCGTAGTTGAAATACCACCGAGTAATCTTAAGCGCTAGCTAGTTCGCAACCGCCTATATGACCGTCTATGTGCAACTCAAAATTGCATAATTTGCCCCAGTGGTAGAGACGGTGACTGCATGAGCTCGGGTATAGTTTATCTGATCTCCTGTAAGACGTGTGGTGACGCATACATTGGCGAAACGGGTATACCCCTCTGTGTCCGCATGAAAGAACACCTAGCCGGCAAAAATAGACCAAATACCCCGCTAGGCACGCATAGGACCCAGAGACATAACGGAGACGACTTCGAAGTATGTGTCACGATCCTCGCACGCGAATCAAGAACACAGGCGCGAAAAACTCTCGAGGCACTCTGGATTAATTCCAGAAATCCGAAAATGAACCGCAGGGAAGAATGCCTCATTATCACGCGTGATATAGGGCAGTATATGAAACTGCTTTTCTGATGTGAGGGGCACATTATACTTTCACGTGATTTCTGTGCGGTTGGTCTCTACGTGACATACTTAGTGGAAACCTCATAGGAAGTGGTGAGTGTGCAAAGCTGTGTTCAAAGTGATTGAAAACTTGGTTTGGGGTTTCTTTGTTTGGTTATGGAGGCGTCTGGCCGAGTAGGTTGCTATTAACTTGACCTTTCCAGGCTCTGAGGAAGGCGAAATCCGCCGAAACGTCAGCTTAATCGTGAACAAAGAATAATAACACCTCGCGTTTGCTCAACAGAAATACGAAGAAAATCACTTGATCAATGCCGAGGTTAATAGAAAGTCGGTCGTGGAAGTAAGAGGATTTGCTTCATGGTGACAAAAATCCGTACGTATTCTTTCTTTGATGAGCTTACACGAGGTTGATAATGATGTTTATTTTCGGCTAACGTTTCAACGTCTTCGTCTTCCTCAGAGCCGATGATCCGAGTCGATGGTCCTCGCTTGTTATTCGTCTCGACGTGGCAGCTTCGCCTTCGTGCCGAGTCAGGTCTTCTTTGGTGAGCCAACTCCTCGAATGAGGCATCCTCACTCAGTGATGCCCTTTTATACACGATGCTGATGGTCGATATAATGATAATGTCCGGTGATAACAATTTGTTTTTCTTCCGGACATACATCATTGTGCACATCGTGCAGAAGTCGGTGTTGTTATCAGCTAGCACAAAGCGTAGTAATATTTCGGAACCGACTTTCCTTGAACCTCGGTATCACTAATCAATATGTATTCTTTCTCATCATAAGCTCATCAAAGAAAGAATACATATTGATTAGTGACACCGAGGTTCAAGGAAAGTCGGTTCCGAAAAATCTGTACATTCTGGTTTTTAATCCAATTAGTTAGCTTTGCAACATGCCAAGAGATATCAGTTTCAAGTTTGGAGGCGCAACGCTTTACAACACATATGAGCATGTGAGGCAAAATCAATTCACATGGTCCACCCCCACCCCAAGAGACATCCCGACATCCTGCTATCTTTTCTCCCCACCGGTATAATCTTTGTGACAGGAAGTGTTAGCGGTAAATGGTACTACCCTCCTCGCAGTTTCAATAGAACGGGCAATTTCTGACCTTCGAAGATCGCGTAACTAATTACGAATATATTTGAAAGAAGCAAAATAAAAAAGGAAATAGATCCGAAAGACTATTAAGAGTTAGTCAGCATAAAACAAAAAACTAAAATAAGCCCAATCAAATGGAACTTTACAAACGAACATCAACAAACTCGATGTCGGCAACACCACCGCAACAGCGTTTCACCTCGACGGTGCGTCCGAGAATACTGAGAATTTTTGTGCGGATTGCTGAAAGAATGTTGTAAAGGGTAACTGGCCAAATAACCACGTGTTAAGGTAAATGTTGAACGCACTGTCTGTTTCCTGCGCAATCAACTGCTTAAACACTCGATCGCACTCTTCGTCAACATCACAGCTCTCCGATCGGACGAAATAGGTATCGGATCCGCCACCACCGATTCTGCGATAGTCTATGTCGGAGTTCAACGATAGCACATGACACCTATCCTGTCACAAAAAACCACCATACACTGGCTACACAAAGTAAAATGAGAACGGACTAAAAATAAATCATATAGCACCTACCTCCAAGACCGCGATAAAAGGCAAGAACTGATGTCGCTGCAAACCGTTTTTGTACAAATCCTTAGGAGGTCTATTTGACGTGGCGATGACAACGAGCCCTTCATCAAACAGAAGCGAAAAAAACCTCTTCAGTATCATAGCATCAGCAATATCCGTGACCTAAAAGGTAAACTCCAGAGAGAGGAAGTTCTAGAGACAACCCCCTAAGCCGGTTCATTCTCAGTACCTGGAACTCATCAAAACACAGCATCCTACACCTGCTCATGATTTCATGAACAATGAACGGCACAGGATCGCAGGTACCCCGTTTCCCAACATGTGCCATCTTTACAGAATGCATTCCTAGTAGGAAAAAATATATGCAACAAACAAAGCCAGAGGAATTAGGAAGAATAAAAGCAACTTTTGTGTATTTCCTGCATAAATGGGTGGAAGTGAACTCGTTCTTTCTCTGCAAATGGACAGCAATCGAAGAACAAATCCATTATCATCGTTTTGCCGCAACCAACATTACCCCAGAGATAGATCCCTCGTGGAGCCGGGCTGGCGACTTGCCTTGTCTGAAATCTAAAAAGTACATCAAGAGGACGAGACCACATACGATGGAAACCTTGAGGTGATTCCAAAAACTGGCGAGTTTCCAGTTTTTCCTTGTGTGCTTCGATCTCGGCGTGGCCACGTATGAAGTCAACGATTCCACAATACCGTCAAAGTGGGTAATGATTGAACGCTAAAACTCATCAGTTCTGTGCTCTTCTATAAACCAAGTGTAACTTAAAAAGAAACTGACTTCAGCTAGATTAGCTGGAGTGGGTTAGGAGTGACGTTTATCAATGACCCACCTGATGAGAATCGTCCTTCAAGATACCATCGTTGACCAATCTCGTGTAGGCAGTGGTGACTGTCGAAGTGACCCTCCTCTCGAAGATGCATATCCTCAAATGAGGCCCTATGAGAAACATCTCTATCACCGACGAGATCTGGAGGTAAGGAAGGAACTAACAACCTACTTCTCAGGTTCACACGAACCAGGGCTCCCATAACTTAACTGTACAATTTGCAGAACGATATTGCAATTGACACACTAAACCGCGAGCGGCTTCATGGAATGCGACTTCCCATGTGACCGCGGTCTAGCCGACGGCGCTCATCCCCGAGGTGGGTAGCTCTCCGTGCTGAGTCTCGGACTCCTGGAGGTGCTCCCTCATCCTCTCGGATCTCGTATTTCTTTTATAGTAGTGGATTACATAGGCTGGTTTCCATTGGCTTTTCTAACTTATTTTTCTTCCGTCGAAGGAATTTCACTTCGAAGGAAGAAAAAAAAGGTTCCGGATAGGAAATACCACCTCTTGGTCGGGAATTGTTAGCTTGTAGGACGTCACCTATCTATCTACATAGATTTTCCTCGGTTAGCAGTTCCAGACCAGCGTTATAAGTATCGCTCATTTCTGAAACGAAACCGTGCTGCCAACATTTTCAAGCTTATAAAAAGTCGCTTCCAGTCATAGTAGTTCTGGAAGTGAGAAAGCCATTCCAGAACTGCGCCCTTCTCTTAGGAGTTTTCCGGACGGCTTTAAGTAATTTGGGCTCTTATGCTCCCATGAGCTGTAGTGGTTCAACTCTACCTTCATATAGTGTTATTTTACGAAGTTCTGTGCTAAATTCCTCACATGGTTTATTTGTAGTGCTTATATTATGCATGAGTTTATGTGTTAAAGAGGATAAACAGAATTTCAGTTATCCAGAAGTTGAGTTCAGCCTTTTCTAGGGCTTTTAACCGCAATTTTAAGAAAATCATGAGTGGCTTGTAATTAAATTTAACTACTTTAGCTATTTGATTCTATCCTGTAGAACAGTTCCATGGAGCCTTCGAATCCTGATGGCGGATTTGAGCGTTCCATCGAAGCTTCAACGTCCGCTCAACAACCCAGCTCGTCTTTGCAATCAGTGCAATCCACAGATGACTCGGAAGATCACCGTAATTCTGTCGTATAATATCTCAGTCAGATCATTGAGACCAATGGAGAAAGGTAGTGTAGGTGACAAAATGCTTTGCAGATATGTGTCGTGTTTGTCGTGGTGACGAAGGTCATCTGTACTACCCATGTCTTTGTACCGGAAGTATAAAATATGTTCATCAAGAATGTCTAACTGAATGGCTTAGATATAGGTGGGTGCCTTTCTCTCACTTCTTCTCCCTTCCATGTTCGTTTATTACCATTCTCTCTATCGAATTCTCCGTTTTTTTGCTTCCGTTTTCTCTTCATTCTTTTCATTGCTTCGTTTTCCTTCGTCTTCCCTTGCTTGGCATCGCACATCTGAAAGTTTCAGCAAAAAGGAGGTCTGTGAACTTTGCAATTACAAATATTCGTTTCAACCGATATATCGACATGACATGCCCAAAGCACTTCCACTGATAGAAATACTTAAAGGTATGTTTGTTATATTGGAGGTTAGAGTTTGTGACTACCTCACTTCGGACGCCTGCATCACTCAGGTGTTGCCATCAGCGCTGCTTCTATGGTCCGAACATGGCTCGTCTATACGATGGTACTGATATCATGGCTGGGTATTGTTCCTCTCACTGCTGCAAGGATCTACCATGCAGTTTTCTACTTGTCCATGCAAGAAATTCTTGTTCTACCAATAAGTATTTTTAGAACCGAGCAAATCTTACCCGATGTGCTCAAGGTTGGATTGTTACCTTTCTGTAACGTCGGGTTTCTGTCTACAAGAGTTTTCCAAATGATTTTCAGGGATGTTTTTTGCTTATTATTTTCATTTGTACGTTTATCTCCTTGGTTTGGTTACGAGAGCAAATAATTCATGGAGGACCATACGACTTCTTGAATATTGGTTTGTGGCTACCTGATTTCTTACTGTTCCTCTCCTCACGTTTGATTTCGTGTTTGAAGAACGAGACGCCGGTGCTCAAAATGGTGTGGAGGAACAGCATCATCCTCCTGTTGAACAACATGGTGATGGCGTAGCCGACGGTGAAGTACATGATCAGGTTCGATAGGGTAGATCTTTATGTAAATCGCTTCAAGTGCTAATTTAAGGGACGAGCGTTGAAATTCAACTGAATATATAGTGATTTTCAGGCAGAGGATATGGATGAGAGTGCTGACGACGAGGAGGGACGGGGCCAACCACTTGCAGAAGGCAATCATGAGCAGGTAGGGTTAGTTTGGTCTTTAGAAACTAGGCCTTCCTCTTTCCACTTTTCTGTGATTTGTTTCCAAACTTCGTTTTGCGTTAATGTGTATGTTGGTGAGCACTGTTGGGTCGCTGTGATTAGGCTTTTGTGTTTTATCTAGTAATGTTAACACTTTCTAATAAATCAGTGAAAGAAAGTACTTTCCAATTAATTCTTCGGAGAGGTGTGTAATCTAACCTAAAAGCCAATCACAATTTTAACTTATTATTTACTGCCTACTCTTTTTAACGGCAAGCTATATTAAAAAAGAGTAGGCAGTAAATAATAAGTCAAAATTGTGATTATAACTGCATCCTCAGCTTAACTGGGTTCGATGCCGATTTGGGCTCTCCAGATCAATCCCTCTGACGGGTGATTGCTGATGGCAAAAGATCGATAGAACTAGCTGAGAGACAGGTGAAACGATGGACCCGCATGGTGTGGTGGTGAACATGTTACTTCCCGGATAGGACAATAGCGCGTTCGTTCCCCACCGCAGACACCTGCGGTCCGGAGTTTTGCAAATATCTCAGCATCACTAAAGCCAATGTTTCTTCTGCTTTTGTAGATGACAACCAACCGCGAGGTAGAAGGAGAGCCTCTCAGGCCTGAGCAAGCAGGTGCGAGTGGAATCCTTACGCCGTTTTCTTTGTGTGTTTCTCAATGCTTTCTGCTTAAGATCATGTGCAACCACGGGCTCCTAATAATGATCGGCCTGCACAAGAAGTTCCACAACCGGAGGACAACTGGAGAGATCTGGACAGGTGTTATCCCTTAGTTTAAGTTTCACATTTGCCTTGTAAATCAAGGCTCTTTTTCAAACTATCTCTTAATTTTTAGTCTGTAGCCAACTTTCTAAACTTTGTAGGCTTGGCGATGAATTGACGTGGCAAAGATTGTTGGGGTTAGATGGATCTTTGGTTTTTCTAGAGCGTGTAGTGTGGGTAATCTCTCTAGATACGCTTTTCACCATTGTGTTCGGTGAGTTTTGATTACGATCGCCTAGTAATATTTAAACTAATGTAGTAAGTTTTAGTCTTCCCAACGGTTTACCACCTCATCGTGGCTGGGAGGTGTCCCTGGGTGTCGGACTGCGATATATAGCGGGCGGATTCGTCTCCCCGGCAGGGTCTCCCAAGCTGTGAAGAAGTCCGGCGTTTCCATTAGGAAGCCTAGCTAAGAGTAAACCAATACCAGGATCGGCGGGCTGCGACTACCCGTGGTCGTGAAGACCTGGGGCAGACTTTGGCCAGGCTGAGCTCGGGATTCCAGGGAACCACAATGGCTTAGCCAACAAATCTCCGAAGAATTGTGATTATGCTGGGGCCTGCACAACCAGCGAGGATGGGCTGTCCAAGTATCAAGTAAGTAAGTAAGTTTTAGCATACATTTAACAAACCATAAGGGTGTGAGTGGCGCAGTGGTCGGAGGCGTCCTGCGACATACACATGGGATCGATCCCCACGTCCCTGGCTCGCCAAGACCTCCATCCCTCGGGGGTTGACGAATTGATACCAAATTTGTTCGGGAAGATAGCAGCGATACATCGGTAGGCCATCGCGAGTCACTGTAAAGGCTAGATATGCATTGTCGAATGCATGGCGCATCTCTCAAGGATTGATCAATTCGGAGAGTTTTATCCTTCTTTATTTTTATGAAATCACGGTGCTTTCGTTCATTTTCTGTGAAGTCTGCTAAAAAGGAAATTCATCAATTTAGTCTGCTTTTAACATGAGTTTCAAAACTTTTTTTTAGCATATGCACCGTACAAGTTGGGACACTATATTTTAACAAAGTGTGGAATTCAGCAATCGATTCATTACTTTCCATCGATAGCCGCCATACTAATGGGATATGTAGCAGTTACAGCGATCATATACGTCCTTCATTATATTGTTGGATTGATACGTCTTAACAGGTTTGCATTGTTGTTAAAGCAGTTAGTAATGAACTGCTTATGGTCCATTGGTTCCTATTGCAGCCTTTATCGTGTGTTGGGGATTTGCTTTCTTGTTCTGAAAGTATTTCTGCTGGTACTCATAGAAATAGGATTCTTTCCAATTATCTGTGGTTGCTGGATGGACCTATGTTCACTGGTTTGCTTACTACATAATGAATTTGCCAAGAGCTTAGCATCACAGTCATTCTTTATATTTTGTCACCGCTTTATCGATCGTTTCAGAAGCTTTTTTCGGCATCACTTTCTTCAAGAGCAGCGTCATTCGCTACATCGCCTACATCATCAGTATTCATTCACTGGATGATTGGCATGGTAATTTTCTCATCCTTTCGCACAGCTGAAATTCCTGCACATTTTTTTCAGGTTTACGTATTCTATTTTGCATCATTCGTCCTGTTACTTCGTGAGGTTCTTCGCCCTGGTGTTCTCTGGTTCATGCGAAACTTAAACGATCCCGAATTTAATCCAATCCAAGAGGTATACTTTGTTTCTCTGACGATTGTGATACACTTTGTTTTAGTTCTTTATCCATGTATTTTTACTGGCTAATATTCTTCTGAAACTAATATTCCTATGAAAAAATTTTTTATATCAGTGGTGCCCGATTTATTTTGTCCTAAAAAGTGGATGGTAGCGCTCTAAAAAACTGTATTTCAGATGATAGAACTTCCTGTAACACGCCATTTGCGTCGTCTTGTTGCCTCGACAGTAAGATACTTAGTCCATTGTTTTAGTTTTCTTTGTTTTGAATTAATTTTATTATCACGCACACTCTTTAAATGTTTTCTGTCTTAGTTGTTGTGTAGATTTTGTGTTTCATCTACTATTCCTTCCACATATTCATTCTTGCTCATTCTAGTCATTATGCTTTACAACTATTTTCCTTATTATCTATCTTCCTCTTGGACTCGTGCAGAAGCTTTATCCACCACTCCTTCCTTACAATATGAGTTTATCGGCAGATACTCCTCTCAGCGAGCTATCCCTCGAACTTTTAATTCTCCAGGTAAAGTGGTCTAATTTCAACGACCATTTCAAAAGTTGTTAGATTTTTTGCTGTATTCCAAATTGCTTTGTTTGAGGTAGTTCTGCCTGCTCTTCTTGAGCAAACACAAGCTCGCTTTCTGCTGAAAGCTATGGTATTATGGTGGTGCATACACGTTGGTGGAGCACTTAACGTTGACAGGTGAGGTAAAATAAACAAGTTCAGAAGTGGAGAAATAAATCTGATGTCAATGTGTGGATAGGATTTGTATATTCTGGATGATTACTAAGATATGATGGCACTAGTAGGGAGAAAACTAGCTGAGAGAAAAGCGAAGCGAAGGACTTGGATGGCATGGTAACGAACGCATCAGCTCCCGGAAAGGGTAATAGCGTGCTCGATCCCCACCGACGCGGTGCAGAGTTTTGCAAATATCTCAGGATCATTGTGGTTGTATTACTAAGATATTTTTCCACGAGATTCTGAAGCTATGTTAAGTCACTCGTATATGTATGTTAAGTGATGTCGAATAAACGTCTAAATAGTGTTGTAATCAATATTTTGGTTTGCTTCAGATATCTACTACCAGACTTACCTAATCCAGAACAGCCTCAGGATGGGATTGGAGCGCAAGGCGCTGGTGGTTTGGCTGCTGAGCATCAGGTTTCTTTCGCATTAATTTTTCACCGTGAAGAGACCTGCAGTTTTCAAAATTTGAGGCTCTTCTTCTTTTACGCGAACCGCAAGCTGTTCAACCATATAATCGTCCTCGATTTTTCCCACTACGTGTTTTAATTCTCTTGTGTGCTGTAGCGGTCACGTGTTGCGTTACTAGTTGCATGTTGTTCCTTGTACCAGGTACATTTTTGAACACACGTGGTTATTTCTTTAAGGGGCCATCCAACTTCTTTTTTAGTGGTGGTAGGTCGAGGGATCATTTACAGTCTAACAGGGTATTCAAATGTCCATGAGTTGTATACGGTATGTTTAACATACGGGATTTTGAAAGTTGTTTTGATAACACGAAGATGACATAGAGTCCGTTCAAGGTGGGTGCTGGTATGTATGTGTGTTGGATGTTTGTGAAGTTAAGTTTGCTGTCACTGCATTGGTTCAATCTGGGCGTCAACCATTTGAAGGAAGCGATCGTTAATTCATTAAGCATCGTAAGTTTTTCCGCAAGTTCGATATACACTAATCCTTCTGCTTTATATAATGTAATTCAGACCGCTCGCCTTGTCCTGGTCTGTATTCCTATTGTTTTTGTGATTCCCATGCTTATGGGGACGTATTTCCAACTTGTCATCATCACTCCTTTGAGGCTGTCTCATCAACAGGTATTGTATATTCCTTTTCAATTAGAACTAAATTCGTTTATATTATTTTTGCATCTTCATTATCTCGAATGGGTTGTCTTTTGTATGTGTACTCAGTTATTAGAGATTCTTGTAGACGTCACTGGTATTTCTATGGCAAGACTGGGCAATGGGAGTGCTCCACATGAAAATCGTTTGTGGAGCTATAATGATGGGGCCAGAATGGTGGATGCGGCAAGTATTCGATCAGGTGTTACGCTTTATATCGCTTTGTGCTCCGAATCTTGAGATCGTTGTTGAAAGCATAACTTGTTCTTCCGTTCAGATATACCAGGATGGCATTCGCAATTTACGTGCTGGATTCATATTATCCCAGCTTGTTTTTCCCGTCATACTGTTTTTGAGTTCTTTACTCGCTTTCCCTTACTTGATGGCACGGCTCTACATTTTCGTAACTGGTACGTTTTTTATTCAATCAGTAGCGATGTTCTTTCATGTATAACGAAACAGTATTTAAACCAGCTGCTCCACTCGTGGATACTGTCCTCGTGTTGCGCTATTGCTTCCCAAGCAGTTTAATTCTGCTCTTAGTAGTTGGATTCCTCAAATGGCAGTTGAGTAAAATTCAAGGTTTGGCGGAGAATATTCGGAATGAAAGGTGGGTCTTTGTGTTTAAGTTTACATATCCTATCTTTAATGTCTGTTGATTAAAAGGCTTAAAATATTTTCCTTAATTCCATCGTTCACTCAACAGGTATCTTGTCGGGACACGGTTAGTCAATTACGAGCGAAATGGTATGGCAGCTTCCCCCACTGAAGCTACTGTTTCTCCGTAAATCTATTGTCTTTTAAGAAGTCTGATTAAATTTTTAGTAATTTTCTGTTCGTTGTATTTGGTCTTCATCGAAAATTTCTCTACACATTACTAGTTTCCGTAATTTGAGTTGGTTGAGTGCTGTTTTCCACGAAAGATTAGTATTTGTGGTGGAATCACGATGCGAAAAAGTACTACATGCAGGTTTATAGTAAAAGATCAGTTCTACTTAGAGTGGTACGTTCGTACTGGCTGTCCTAGTGTTACTGGTGTTAATGAAAGAACCAACACTTAATATATGAAGAGGTTATGTTGTACCGAATGTTGAAGAAATGCAATGTACTTATAACTCGTACATAATGCTGAGATATTTGCAAAACTCCGGACCGCAGGTGTATGCGGTGGGGAACGAACTCGCTGTTGTCCTTTCCGGGGAGTAGCGCACTTCACCATAGCAGGGTATGCTGCAAAATATAACTCGTATAAACCCTGCCATTAAAAAGAAAAAGGTGGTAAATAAAAGGGTTAAGATTGTGATTATAATTAAGCCTCAGCTTAACTGGGTTCAGTGCCGATTTGGGTTCCCCAGATCAATCCCGTTGACGGGTGATTGCTGATGGCAAAAAGATCAATAGAACTAGCTGAGAGACAGGCAAAACGAAGTACCCGGATGGTGTGGTGGTGAAGTGCGATACTCCCCGAAAAGGACAATAGCACGCGTTCGTTCCTCACCGCATACACCTGCGGTCCGGAGTTTTGCAAATATCTCAGCATTATATACGAGTTATATTTCGCAACATACCCTGCCATTAAAAAGAAAAAGGCAGTAGATAAAAGGGTTAAGATTGTGGCAATGTACTTTGTGGGGATCAACAGTCTTTGAGTTGGACCAAATATTTTGTTGAATATACGTTTTTTCGGGTTAGACCGCCATTTCTGTCGTGCTTATTGTTTACCTCTATGTATAAGAGCTGAAGCACAACATTTATTCGTTTGCGGATAATTATTGTTGTATATGCAACTATCATTTTATTATACCATTACGGTCGCCTTTAGGGTCCATATCACACAATGGTTGGTAATAGGATTGAGTAATCTTCTGTACACAATTCGCATAAATGACGCGGTGAATGACATTTTAGGCCGTTAAACAGTACATATTGTCAGCTTTGGGCTGTCTGACAGCGAATTTTCACTCTGGTGGTGAGAATTGGAAGCGTAGATTACCATCTTTGTTCAAGTCGAGCGCTGCTCCTACGTAAAGCGGTTCGTAACCAGGCATTCCAATTACGACTCCCATTCCTCTGCCTTCTCTGTCCCTCACAGCAGAGTACGAGGTTAGATCATCCTGAAATTTCCGTTAATGAAAGGACACGTAGCCCCTCGTGGGGCAGAAAGCGGTGTCGTAATGCTAGAATGTTGAGATTTGTTATATAGTAATACTTGGTTTCCATGTATAGTGTAAAAGGCGTGTCTAGGAGTCGGAGGCGCGGTGCAATACACATGGGATTGATCCTTGCACCCCAGGCTCGCCAAGCCTTCCATCCCTCAGGGGTCGGAAGATTGGTACGAGACTTGTCTGGGAGGATCATATGACTGATTCGATATATCGGTAGGCCACGTCGAGTCAATGTGTAGGCCAATATGTGTTCAATGACTTCCAACGATGCTTAATGAAGTCGAATGAATGGCGCGTCCCTCAGGGATTGATCGAGGTCGAGAGCTTTATCCTTAGCCTTTTTATGTGAGATCGATCTAAGTTTAAAGGGCACAGAAGTTCTACTAATCATATTATGAAAGTGTTTGAAAATATTGTGACAAAAGTGAATCTTCCTCAGGGACTGTCAACAAGTAAGATTGCAGGGACGTTCTTGTACCCATGGCACTTTAGTGCTATGTTTAATATTGATACTTATCAAAGCCTCGTAGTGCACGGTGGACAAACAGCGACTTACGCAACAGCCGAATAGCAAGAATGGTAGAGTCGCTAAATTGCTGAGCCATTTATTGATAGGTCATTTAGTTCATTAGTAGCGCCAGACTAATTGCGTGGTCTGCTGGAAGTGAGTGAGCGAAACTCATACAGTATCTGTCTTACCAGATTCAGTAGCTGCTGATGTAGAGGCTTTCTTTGTTGTTGAAATGAAAGGACTTTCTTCCTGTGATATCGAAGAAGAGCTGTCTCACAATCGCTTTCGGAGCCAAGTAAGCATAGTCTGGAACCGTAATATAGCCTAGCATCAAGTTTTTCTTATGTCGAGGCAAACTTTCACCTAACAATTTGGGGCTGAGGAAGGACCGCCTAGTATCACATATGTATTTCATCTCAAGATTTACCAAAATTACTTTGAAGATTACTTTAACTATTGCTTTTCCTAAACAGCAGGATGTCTCATTCACTGTATGGAAACAGATATCTCTATAAGGTGATGCAATATTTGGATTGGTTTTTTAAGGCGCTACGGAAGTTTCCAGTCCAGCAAAAAGTTCGCATATGTCGCTTTAAGGCAAGAAAAAAGATTAGCCTCTTCTTCATACATGATTTTTGTGACGAGATCAATTTTCAGTTTCGCTAGCTAATACATCTTCGCTACAATGTGCAATCATCTGCAATATCGAATGACTCCACAATTTTAGCCTTTGGTGGACTGCGTTGAACTCGATAAGCACTGTCCATCCATAACATCTATGAGAGCACTCTCGCGAAGGCGCCTAATTTCGCGCCTTTACTTACCTGCTGGTTTTAGACAATAAGTGGACAAGAGGCTAAGGCTCTCGCCGTTGATCTATCTCTGAGGGATATGCCATGCATTGGACTTTATTAAGCATCGTTGGAGGTGACTGAATGCATGTCTGGCCTTTGCAATGAATCGCCGCTGGCCTACCAATATATCGAGCCAGTACTGCTTTCCTCCCAAACAAGTCTGATATCAATTTGCCGACCCCGGAGGGATAGAGAACTTGGGGGGCCTAGGGCAGTGGGAGCGATCCCATGTGTATTGCAGCGCGCCTTTGGCCACTGCCGCTACACACGCCTACAGTTTTCGGGAAAAGATAATAGTACCACAACGTTGCTGAGATATTTGCAAAACTCTGGACCGCAGGTGTCTATGGTGGGGAACGAACGCGCTATTGTCCTTTCCGGGGAGTAACGCGTTCACCACCACACCATGCGGGTCCTTTGTTTCGCACGTCTCTCAGCTGTGGCAAAAAGTATTTCGCTTACTTAGTAACCTGCCATGAAAATTATAGAAGGCAGAAAACAAAACGTTAAACAAAGATAATAGTATTTCGATACAGCCGCTCAGGTGGCTCAGTGCTTAGAGCTGCCCTGCAGTACACATGGGTTCGATCCAGAACCACAGGCTGACCAAGCTTTCCATCCGTCCGGGGTCGGCAAGTTGGTACCAGACTTGTCTGAGAAGATAGCAAAACTGATATGACCCATCGGTAGGCATCGCAACTTAATTTGCAGTCGAAATACGCATTTAATCACCTTCCTCCAACGATGCTTAATGAAGTCGAAGGCATGGTACATTCCTCAAGGATTGGTTAGCACCGAGAGCTTTATCCTTTTATTTCGATAACCAGATAACTTAAGGGGTTTAGAACGCTATGTAATTAAGGAGAGTCTTTGTTCTACCGCTCTATGTGTATAAGCGGTATACGTGTTACTATTCACTCTATGTATGCTACTACTATACTATGGTCCATCGTGCAATGCTGTAAACATTTGGAAGTCTGTTGAGGCTCATGTTGAGATTATTTTTGTAAGTTTTGTATCAGCGCCTTTCACACGATAAATGTGATTCAACAAAGGAATTGGAATTGGAATAACAGTCAAAAGCCAACCAAATTAGCGATCAATGAACTCCTTCGAGGAAAGTTGTTTGTACATTTCTAAGCACTGAATGGACCTTTCCTAGCCCACCCCTGCCGCAAAATCGATGTTGTATAAGTAGTCGATTAAATGCACGACTTATCATAAAACAACCACAAGGGTATTGAAACGTGAGCAACACGCTGAACCTCAGTTAGGTTTTGAACCCGCAAATACCCTTCCGGGGTACACGTGCTATGCACCGCACCAACCGAGGTCCATGATTTGATTTTCTTTTAGCGATGTTTTACTGTATAGATGCTCTCAGGATTCATCAGGAATGATCAGGAGAACATAAATCGACATTGCCGAGGTAAGTTGAAGATGCAGTCAAAATTACAATATCTTAACTCATATTTACTGGCTAGCCTTAGCACCGACGGAGTTAAAAAAACTGGCTGAAGGAAGAGCAAAGCAGGAGGCTTGTTTTGTGTGGATGGGCAGTTAGGCACGTAGGCCGTGGTAAAATTTATCCCGAGCTTGAAGCCCAGCTCAGGTTCTGAGTTCTGCTCATGTTTTAGCATCCTTGTAGCTGTATTCCACATAATGCCTGGCCATGAAAAAAGGATAGGGATTAAGTAAAAGTTGGAATATTGTGATTTTGACTGCAGCTTCAGTTTAACTCTGTTCAATGCCGATTTGTGCTCCCCAGATCATTCTCGTTGGAGGTTATTACTAATAGCACGGTAAGATGAAAACTGGCTGAGAGAAAGGCAAAGCAAAGGACTCGATTGGTGCAGTGGATGACACGTGAGCCCTCGGAAAAGGTAAGCCTGGGTTCTAAGCGCATCTGACGTCCTGAATTTTGCTCAGCACCCTTTTGGTTGTATCTCACATAATACTTTTTCCTGCAGAAAAAAGATAGGACGTGAATAAAGTTAAAACAAGGTAAGACATATCATAAGTTTTTCTTGCCAAAATAAAGCACAGAGAATAAAAAGGGCTCCGTAGAGGTCATGTCAGCCATTGTGTCCACTAACAGATGAGTCCAAAAGCCACGTCGTCGTATAAGTTGTAACACCTTTTTCGTCTGTGCCACATCTCGCCAACGGAGATATCATAGAAGCACATTCCGTCGAGGGACGAACAAACTTCTCCGAGAAAAAATTTTTGTTAATTGTGTAAGAGTATAGCTTTTCTGGGATCAAGCCAGGGTCAAAGTTTGTGGTGAGAAACATAACGCTTGAAAAGAATACGTATGACAAAAAACATTGCAGAAAGACGTGCCGTAGCCAATAATATGCATCGAAGTCACTACATATTGTCCGCTATGTCCCTCTACGTTCACATCAAGTTAGGTAGGAACTATCGCCTATGTAATTTTCTTCGTATTTTTGTTGAGCAAACACGAGGTGTTATTATTCTTTGTCCACGATTAAGCTGACGTTTCGGCGGATTTCGCCTTTCTCAGAGCCGCTTCCTATGAGGTTTCATTGGTTTGAGAACATTGGTCCCTTTGGTTCCTTTGAGGGCTTCATTGGTTTTGGTTTGAGGACATTATACTTCCACGTGATTTCTGTGCGGTTGGTCTCTACGTGACATACTTAGTAGAAACCTCATAGGAAGCGGCTCTGAGGAAGGCGAAACGTCAGCTTAATCGTGAACAAAGAATAATAACACCTCGCGCTTGCTCAACAAAAATACGAAGAAAATTACTTGATCAATGCCGAGGTTAATAGAAAGTCGGTCGTGGCAGTTATCGCCTATGTGTTATGTTTTCGATTCATACTGGTACCAGTGTTGGCCACCGTGAACCTTATTGGCCAAATTAGTCGGTTTTATTCCGACCATTATGTAAATAATGTGTTATGAGGAAGAAACATACTCTTATGTATTACAAGAGGGAAGCTTTTTCTCTGAAAAGAAATGAATTCACCTTCTCGCAGCTGCAAGTGCACCCTCGGGGCTGCTATCATGCGCCGAGGTGTCGATCCCTTTTTCGAATTTCCTGAAGGCAATACATGTTTATGGATGCTTCTCAGTCGTTTACGGAATATGCTATATGAAGTGACTAATCTGTGAATTTACCGTTGTGAGATAAAATGAAGGTTGATGGGTTGCATGTCTGGGAGGGGCAAGTAAATGCCATTTATATCCTTACGGTTATTCTTGAACTGAGAGTTCAAACTCAGCAAACTGCCATCATCCGGGATTTCCCAATCTGATTCGGTTTCTACATCTCGTTCTGAATAGTGGTAGAACGCTTTAGGGACACGCAGATGCATTCCATCACCAGTAGGAATCTAAATGATACGTTCCGCATTCATATTTTTTTGAAGAAAGAAAACATTAATGGTACCTGCAAGTACGGTACAGCGCTATAAGAGTCCTTGACAGTACCTATTCCAAACGTCATATCTTTCCCATCGTATAGAAGTTGCGGATCCACATCGTTCTTATACCCGGGTAACTTTTCGTAGGAATGCGCGAGAAATAGAAGATGAAATAGAAGAAGGAAGCAGTGAAGCATAATGTAGAATGCAAACTGAAATATTACTATGCCGTCAATTTTTATTTACTGCCTACTATGTTATTTAATGACAGGGTATTGTGTGAAGTATAACCATAATGGTGCAGCGATAACCACAAAATACTGAGATATATGCGAAACTCTGGACCGCGGGTGTCTGCGGTGGGGAACGAAGGCGCTTTTGTCCTTTCCGGGGAGTAACGCGTTCACCACCACACCATGCGGGTCCTTCGTTTCGCCTGTCTGTTAGGTTGTTATTTCACAACAGCTACTACGATGCTGAGACATTTGCAAAGCGTGGACTCCAGACCAAATTCGAACCGTCGACTACCTTTTCCGGGGTCTTACGTATTACTAGGTGACAGTCCACATCATATCCTTCCATGAAAAAATAGTAGGCAGTAAATAAAAGTTAAGCGTTATTTCATAACAGTTCGATGGGTGTTTTGTGAACCATGATTCTTTTAGAGCGGCATCGCGTTGTTGTTTGATGAAAACGGTGTTGATTTCCCATTCTCACGGTAGAAAAATCACCAAGATAGGAATAACTAGACAGCCATCATTAAAGACAGATATGTTTGCCCCTTAACGAGATAGCAGCAGTGGAGAAAGGCTATGTGATTGAAACAATGTAGAGTTGACCTGATTGCGTGGGGCCATTTCACTTTCGTATGTGAAACAGATAGAGACCATAACCTAATTGAGCGTAAAATGAAGTATACATGCAGAAATATCTGGAAATATGGCGAGAAGAATGATGCGACAGAGATGACGATACGGAATATTAAAAGTGAAAGTATAAGAAGAAGTACGGAATATTTTGCTAAGTATTGGCAACAGGGAGGACGGATAGTACAGTCATAGTGATTCCGTCCACTACGGGGACGTCCCAACCTACCAGGATGCTTGCGACCAACCCGTGCACCCAAACCTTTCATCCTTCCAGGGTCGAGGCGCTGGTATTGCACTCTTCTGGAGCATGCTCACTTTTTACAGTCCAAGTACGGACGCTCTAGTCCGGCAATCGCAGAAGGGAGAATCAACTTGACTAGAATCCAACGGTCTTCGTGACGAAGGTGAAAAAGTCCTGAGGCAGTATCTGACTTCAGCCGCAAAAATTTTGAAGGCCTTTGTGGATGGTGAGCGCTAGGAAACGAATCGAATGTAAGAAGCGCTGGTATCCGCGTAGTGCGATCCATGTGATGGTGGATCGTTTAATAACTAGATGAAATTCTCATCTTATTTTTTATAAACACTTCTCCTGCACAAACGCGAACTATCTTAACCCTTTTATTTACTGCCTTTTTCTTTTTAGTGGCAGCGTATGTTGCGAAATATAACTCGTATGTAATGCTGAGATATTTGCAAAACTCCGGACCGCAGGTGTATGCGGTGGGGAACGAACACGCGCTATTGTCCTTTCCGGGGAGTAGCGCACTTCACCACCGCACCATCCGGGTCCCTCGTTTTGCCTGTCTCTCATCAAGAAAAAGGCAGTAAATAAAAGGGTTAAGATTGTGATTATAACTAAGCCTCAGCCTAACTGGGTTCAATGCCGATTTGGGCTTCCCAGATCAATCCCGTTGACGGGTGACTGATGGCAAAAGATCGATAGAACTAGCTGAGAGACAGGCAAAACGAAGGACCCGGATGGTGTGGTGGTGAAGTGCGCTACTCCCCGGAAAGGACAATAGCGCGTGCTCGTTCCCCACCGCATACACCTGCGGTCCGGAGTTTTGCAAATATCTCAGCATTACATACGAGCTATAAAATATGTTAATATTAACTGCATGAGATCTATAAGTTCCTGACAAATCGTAGGATTCCGTTGTCATTTGGATTGGAAGTCTGCTGACGGGTCTGACTCTGTGTTCAGATTCATTCACAATTGTGTCTTATGGCTGAGCCCAACCCTAATCGTTCATACGGCCCATTTCTTCTAAATATTCACAGTTTTAAGTCTTAGAGTCTTTGGCCGAGGAAGTACAACAATGCCGAGAGATCACAATTCCAGGAAGGAAGCCCTGAGGTTATAGTTGCCCAGCTATGGCCATTGTTAGCTTCTCATCGGTGGTGAAAACACCTGCCCTCCCAACCACTTAAGTGAACATTGAGGTCCCTTACATAAAACGTCGAATCCGATGATATCTCAATTCGAACAGTTCATTATCGAAGGGTTCTATAAGAGAATCCTAGTTCCCAAGATCGACTTTCTCTTAACCTCGGCATTGGAATATGAATGTGTCGTTTTCTTGTTCAGCAATCGCGAGGTTTTTAAACAGCATACATTTACTTCCATAAAAACACAATACAATACAACGCTAGCTGACGTTTCGGCAGTATCGCCTTCTTCAGAGCCTGGAAGGGTATACTGATATACAATCTACTAGGCCAAACGCTTCAATAACACTTACACAAAGACGAAAGACTCTTTGGTAATTACACGATCAACAACTTCTCGAAAAACCCACCGCTTTTTCGTGACTTCCAATGAGGAAGTTTAGAACAGCTGATTATAGTCGCATGTGGTTGACGACTGCACCATCCCACATCAAAAATCGATGCGAACGTACGAGATCAGGTCGCGTATGATCTCCGGGCATTCGTCCCTGCTATTCATTGTAGGGCTTTTGGCATTGATCCAAAAAGCCTCAAGGAGTTTTCGCGCTGGTGTTTTGGACTCCTGTGCAAGGATATTGACTTTCACTTCAAAATCGTCTCCGCTATGCTTTTGTATCCTATGCGTGCCTAGTGGGGTGCTTCGTCTTAGTTTTCGTTTGCCATCTAGGTGTTCTTTTATACGGATACACAAAGGTCTGCCCGTTTCGCCAATATATTCGTCTCCGCAATTGTTACACGAGATCAGGTATATCGTACCTGAACTCATGCAAATCATTGTCGACGAACCACAAAGAATGTGGTTCTTTTCTTCCTACAAATGTTACCATGATAAGGAGTAGTAAAGGAGAAGCAGAGGTTAGGAAACTAGCGGAGCATTACTCTGATTAAAGGATAAATAAAGGATAATGCCCTCGGCGTTGATCAATCTCTGAGGGATGCGCCATGCATTCAACTCCATTAAGTAACGTTGGACGTGATAGAATCCATATCTGGCTTTTACAATGACTCGCGGTGGCATAGCGATGTATCGAGCCACTGCTGAAATCCTTCCAGACAAGTTTGGTACCAATTTGCCGGCCCCGGAGGAATGGAATGCTCGGTACGCCATGGGCGCGGGAATCGATTTCACGTGGGTGTCGGAGTGGCGCCTCCAACCACTGCGCTATACCCGCACTATCACTATAATACCTTTGTTAATACAGCATTTCGCGATTAGAGAAATAATAAATAACCACAAACGTAGGTGATTTGACGGGCTCTTATGAAGACGTGCGCGTAGCGCAGTGGTTGGAGGCGCTCTGTAATACACACGGGATAGATCCCGCGCTTCAGGCACAGTAACCCCTTTGATCCCTCCGGGGTCTGCAAATTGGTACCATATTTGTCCGAGCGGACAGCAGGACTGACTCGATACATCGGTAGGCCACCGCGAGTTATTTCAAAGACCAGATATGCATTCAATCACCTCTAACGATTGCTTAATGAAGTTGAATGCACGGTGCACCCCTCAGGGAATGATCAAGGCTGAGAGCTTTATTCTTTTTATATTGATCCTCATCAAAAGTCGTCCGAGATGTCATCTATTTGCAATCCATTGTTTTCCATCGCAGTAGTCGTTTGATGCAATGGCCTGTTTTCAGCATGGTGAAGCCTTTAGATGGGAGTGTTCTTGGATGTCGAACTGCTAGATACAGCGAGGTTTATCTTTCCAGCAGTCTCCCAAACTGGGAAGGAGTTCGACATTTCCACCAACCCACCTAAGAATGAACTAATTCGATGAATCGTTTTCTGATAGCAACTTAATTGCGAGGTGGCAAATCTCCCTTATTGGGTAGTTCCGAACCGAAGAAAATTCCGTTTTATTATTCACTTTGGTCTTCAGCTTCTTGTTAGGACATTACTGATGTTTTTTTACCTAGTCTAGAAGTGCCTTCAAAAGTGAGTGTCTTCTTTTCGAAAGACGATTAGGGGTGAAATCCAGTAGGCATTTCCGGTCAAGAGTTGTAGGTGTACGTAGGGCTTGATAGAAATCTACTCTACATCCCATTTGTGCTATCTTTTTCTCCCTTTGAGCATAGCGTTGGCAAACCAATGCACTACGCATTAGCTTTTGTGTTCCTACTTAGATGTACAGTTTGTGGGAGATCATGCAGAACATTTTGACATTTTGGTAGCCTAGTAGGTCTTCTCTAGAGAAAAATCGGGTTGTGCTCACTGGCTTCACTTCGTGGAAAACGACAGAATAAGTAACCGAATTCTGGGGGGATGTTAAATCATGCACTAAGCGTGCTACGTTCATATATCCTTTCTTCATGTGTGTGCAGCTGTTAAACATAGTTCGTACGGAATTTATTCATCTACATGAATAACTGCATGAATGCACGAGTATTCTCACAATATTCCTCTATAAAATCATGGTAGTTTAAATTTAACACCAATATGACGATAAACCACCAAGTTCTCCTGTGGCTTGAATTTCCAGATCAGTCCGATATAGATCTTTTCTTATTGGGGATTGTAATTCTAAGCGTCCATACTACGTAAATAGAAGGCTGTAATACAATCTTCAGTTGCGTTCCGCAGACATCTCTTCATAGGAAGACCTTTCCCAAGAATTGGTGAAAACAGTAAGGTATTACGCATACGCAAAGTATTTACACATATCCTAACGGTTTCAGTTTCTGCTGAGAGCATGATATTTTGGAATTTGACTAGGCTCTCTCTCATCAGTAACTGGTAGAGGTTGTGGTTGGAAACACGGTAAGTGAACATCGGTAGAAATAAAGGTTCATTTTCTTCAACTCTATAGGAATAAATATGTATGTACACCTCTGGGAACGATATAGGCATTTCGAAATATACTTTCACAATGAAGCTAACATAGACATAAGAGAACACATTCTACTGCAAAGCGGTAGACAGGGAGTATATGGACTATGGGGAAGAAAGGTTTTTGTCAACCTTCAAGCACTGCGATGCACAGAGGAGAATTTCAGCTAAACAAGAATCATCATCTTCGAGGCGCTTCTAAAATTCAGAAATCCATATCTTCATCAAAAGTTAGTTTCAAGGTTGTTATTGTAGCAACTTCCATGATGCAACATGATGAATGAAAGAAGAAAATGAAAAGCGAAAAAAACAGAAAAGACACTGAAAAAAAGTAAGGCACGAGTGGGATATAACATGAGGACACTTTGACTAAGGCAATTTAGAACGCGACGTTCTCTTTGTAGGAAGAAAAAATGACTATGTAATGAGTCCGAATTACGAACAAATTGAAGTAATGAAACCACGACAGAAGGAAACGGACAGTGAAAAGAAAAAAGGTTGATGGCACCGGCTCGTAGTGATTTGTTGCAACTGGTTATAGTGATGTCAGTTATGATCCCAACACGTTAGCCACAACTGATTCATAAGCCAACCAATACTGAGACCCAACTGCAGTGGGAGACGTCGTCGTCACCGATGGGATGGCGATCGCCTACTGCTTGTAAGGATGGTCACGAGAAGTGCCGAGAACACGACGTTGGTTAATCATGGCACCTGAACGTTAGCACTGTTAGCGACATTAAATGTTATAGTCTTATGTTCTTGTTATATTTCTACCTCTGCATGAACCCAATCTCTCTCTTGTTTAGATTACAAGACTTTTTTAGCTAAGTTAATTTTGTTCTGAGTGCTAAATGGCAGCGCGCACAAGAAGCTTGGCAAGAGTCGATTGACCGGTTAAGGTTAGCTTGTCTAAATTTAAAGTACTTAGTGTTCTATCATGCAATTTTAAGCCATATGCTCGTGAAAAATGTTTTCCAAAGGCAGTGTTATCGAGATGAGATGTAAGGAACGTAGGAGATCAAGGCAAACTTAAACAAGCAAGTAATCACAATTTCAGATTCACCGATATGTCTGTGGTAAGGAAGACATCAAGTACACGTAGATGATATCAACATTGGAATGCAGTGGAAAGAAAAAACAAAGATACAAAAACAAAGAAAAAATTCAAATATGGCAATATTGCTGAACAAAGTACTATTTAAGTATTCCATTATAGGACTACCTGAATAAATAATACTTCGTGGATCTTAAGAAAAACAGGTCACATCAAGAAAAATGGTTGTGAAAGCTCTCGCCAGATACAAATGTGAGACCTTACTAGTGGATGGAGTACGTCTCGATATTATGCCCATTTCCGAGCGACAAACCCACCAGGAGTAGTTTGAGCTGCAGCAATATCAACTCCAGCATAATCCGAGTACTGTCCTCCGAGCAGACTGTACTGCTGCTGAGCAGCCGCCTGCTGCTGAGCTTGGGCTTGTTGGAAATGCTGAAGAGCCGCGACGTTTGCCAAGTTTTCATATGATAATCCTTGACTGAAAACTAATGACGTATGCAGATGCTAGAAAAGAACTTGAACAGATTAAACCATGGGTTACGACACTGTTAAAAGTGATTTACCTGAGCAGTAGTTGCTGGTATTCAGCAGCTTGCTGTTGTTGTTGTTGCAAAATGGCGGCCTGTTGAGCCGCAACTGCCGCAGCGTTGTTGCTGACGGCGACAGCAGCTGCTCCCAGCTGCGATTGCAGCCCGAGCATCTGATTCTGCTGAGCAGCAGCTCCTCGGCCAGGACTCATTACGATTGGGGCCCCAGCCATTGCCATCGTTGGAGATCGAGCCAAAGCTGGATTGTTCGCTGCAAGCATTGGCAGCACACTTCGAGCTTGTGCAGAAAGTGCTGCTGCTTCTGAAAATATCAATAAAGTTACCGACGTTAACGGACAAGTAACATAGTTTAAATATAGTCACGTACATGAATGTAGTTACTTTGAAACACTTTCAAACTTGTGTGGCCTTTCATATACCTCATCACGAACACACCCCACTCACACGTATGGAAGATTGTATAAATTCGTTCTCCTGTTCAAAAAGGCCTTCTAGAGTTTATGTTATCAAGTGGTTATAATATTTATTGGGGTGTATATGACGGACGCGTGTAGCGGAGCGGTCAGACGTGTTCTGCAGTACACATGGGTTCGATCTTTCGCCCCTGCCTCACCGAAGCCTTTCAACTCCGGGATCGACAAATTAGAACCAGATCTGTATGGGAGAATTGCAGCACCGACTCAAAACATCGGTAGGCCAACGTGAGCCAGTGTATAGGTCAAATGTGGATTTAATCATCTTTAACGATGTTTAATGAAATCGAATGCATAGCGCAACGGCTAAGGATTGATCAATTCCGACAGTTGTGGCCTCTTTTCATGGATAACGGAGTCATATAAGAGCGACATAGGTAAAGGCTCGTTAAGAAAACATTAATGAATACCGTTATGGACAATAAACTTACGAAGAGCAGCGGCTAGCGGTTGTTTGAGCTGAACGGCAGCAGCGGCAGCAGCAGCTTGCTCAGTTGCTGAACGATAGGTGCCGTTAATAATGGCCAATTCCATAAGCTGTTTCCGTTTGAGCTCATCCTCGCCTTCAGGCTTCAATAAAATCGATGAATTCTGTTATACAACTCACATCGTGTAAACAATCCAGATATTATTAATCCGAAAGTTGACATAGAAAAGCTGTCAGAGGACAATATCGGTCAGCATAAATACTTCCACCACTACCTTCATATAGAACAACAAAAAGAGGTATTTTCTTAGGGCTATAAAGTCTTCGTCCCAATGGTTCACCGTCTCATCGTGGGACATGCAGCGGGGGTTCATCCGCCGGCAGGGTCTCCCAAGTTGAGAAGGTGTGTGATGTTTCCGCCTGGAAGCCCAGCTAAGAGCAAGCCAGTATAAGGAATTACTAGTGTCCTGGTATTAAATTGGTCGCAAAATGCCAAATCTCCCTCTATTCAATGTATACGAAAAGACCAACATACATAAATCAGCTACTATTCTAAATAGTGAAAAGGAGGCAGCAATTGGTAAAAGAGAGTGGCGTAATATCCTCAAAGTTGTTTATTGCTGCACCACAGCGGTGTAGATAGCGGAATGAAAAATTGGTAAACGTTGTGGACGATTGCTAACGAGACCTTGTTCCGCCGATGATATTGTCACCTGTTAGAACAAGCTTGTCGAGTTCAGTGAGTCAAAAGGGAAAAAGGAGGCCTACGGTTTAATCGGAGAAAAATCAAATTTGTGAACATGGTCTGTTGCAGGATAGCAGGTTGGTCCAAATAGTAGGAAATCCCTGGGCTGACTTTCTATTAACCTCAACACTGATCAATAGTTTACTGTTAACCCTAGCAGACGAAATTCAACATGTGAATTTTCATTCGCATAATAAACAGCCTCTCTTGAACACTCACCGTTTTGTTCTCTGTAAGTCCTCTAGCCATCTGGTGGAGAACAGCCGCACGGCTTCCCACATGGGTGAGGAATATGCGTGGTTCAGATCAAGAGATCAAAAAGTTATCCCAGATATGGCGCGAGGTCATGTATGATCAAACGACACTACTCGTTGCGTCTATTCTTCGACTTTTTTGAGTCTGTCCAAAACGACTCAATAATTTTTCGCACTAACGTTTCAGATTTTTGTATGACTATAGTGAACCTTGCTTAGCACCTCCTCCGTCATGTCTTTGTGTCCTATGTGTGCCTAGTAAAGTGTTCTGTTTGACTTTGAGCTTCCCAACCAGGTGATCTTTTGAACGAACGTAGAGTGGTTCCTGTTTCCCCAATGTATTCGCCCTTGCACGCTTTATAAGAGACTTCAGAAACCGTAACCGAATTTATGCAGTCACCGTCTCTACCGTTAGGGCATACCGTGCTATTCTGCGTTGTCCATAGACCCATAGACGGTCATACAGTCGGTTACGAAGCAGTTGGCGTACCACAGTGTTCTGTGACAACGTATTCAAAAACGACTACATCACGAAATAGTACCAAAAGGTAAATAATAAAAACATACTGGTTAATTACCTCTCCTCTCATCTCTCGGACAAAAATGGCGCTTGCAAGAAATATGATTAGAACAGTCACCAATGTGTGCACCGGAAGAGAGCAGAAGGAAGAATCTCTGAACTGGCGCCGCAAGTGGCCACTTCCAATGGCGAAGAAACAGTAGCTCCTCGGGATATGTGCAGAGGAAAACCAAGGCCAACAGACGGTAACTCTAGCGAGAGAAAGGTCCTGTCCATACTGCTGTTCATTTCTGAGGGAATAAGCACAGTTAGAATATGTTGCGTAAAAAGAGGTGATGTAGAGGAGAACTCCTTGGAAGAATTATCACCCAACACTCTCGGCGCCAGCTGGTTCGTAACTGCTTACATGACCGTCTATGTACAAATGAAAAATAGAAGAAAAGAAGCAGAACATTTTATGTCCGCATAGATGAGCACCTAGCTGGGAAGCATAAAGTGAAACAGAACACTCCATTACGCGCGCACAGGACACAGAAACATAAAGGAGAAGATTTTGAAATTAAACTCACTATCATTGCACAGGAATCCAAAACATCTGTGCGTAAAACTCCTGAAGCGTTTTGGATGAATTCCAAAACCAGAAGTGATCCGCAAGCAGGAATGCCTTGTGATCAGGCATGACCTCGCGCCATACCTCAGACTGGTTTTTTGACCTGAGCCGGGCACATTCCTCACCCACGTAAAACTCTGTGAGGCTGGTCTCCAACAATAACTGGTGGATTTACCAAGAAATGGTCAGTGTTCAAAAGAAGCTGTTTACTATGCAAATGAAAATTTATATACCATGTTGTATTTGCTGAAGTTTGAAAGTGTTTGACTTGGTATACTGCATGTCAGCTTTATCTTTCCAGGTTCTAAAGGAGACAAAACAACGTCAGTTGTCTTGAATAAATAGTGTGATGAAACCTTCGTGTCCGATCATCAACAAAACGGTGAATTATTAACGTGGATGGTGTCATGAACCAAGAGCATCATACCACCTATACCTGGGATATTCAATGAATATTAATAAAGACGTGGGAGAAATCTCCACGAAAGACAACGAAGAATGTGACCTTGCTTCGTGATTCTAGAAGCCCCTGATAAACCTGTTGCTACCGACATACACGCTCATGAAAATAACACATTTTCTTATAGCTTCATCCTCTGTAGCCTAAATTGATGCTCTAGTGAAAGGCAAAAAGTTCTGTACAATACACACGTCACTCAAGTGGTGTTCTTCGAAGATGAAACGGTGTACTAATTACGAAACCAGTTCTCGTAGTTTAAACCTTCGAAGAATATCCGACTCTTTAAGACAGATAGGATTAATCGTTGAGAAGTGAACAACTTGACCGATCATGTGATGAGGAAACAAAACTACAGACTGACGGAAATGACATTTTCGCGCATCCTTAAAGAATCAAAAGGACATTTTGAGAGATTCCAGCTCGTTCGTTGAATGCGTAAGCGTTAGCTGCATGAAGTTGAGGACCAGATCAAATCGCACCTTAGCCTGTGCGCCAATCCGGATAACTACGTAAGTAGTGGCTGCAAGAGAAGAGCATGAATGACTGAAGTGCAAAAACCTGTAAGACAAGTGAAAACGAGTCATCTAAGCAGGTATTGAACTGAACCAGACTATGACGAATTGGTCCCTTGCCTCCCCAGAAACTCATTAGTACTGAAATCATAGTGAATCGTTCGACAGGCTCGATTAATCCAAAATCCATGAACATACACTACCCAGTAATGGAAGTCAACGCTATCGTTTAACAAATCCCTCATGTAAAAGAATTAATAGCTGTATGAATGTGTCGAAAATGTGTGAAAAATCTGAAGAGAAACCTACAGCAGGCACAAGAAGTTTCTTGACCTCATCAACTGCTCGGGCGAGTTTGATTCGCGATCGATTGGGAGTGTCCTCACATTGGATCAAGACGTGCAGATCTTCAGACAGATGTTCCCAATTCGGTTTTCCACGATTGAGTTCTTCCTGAATTAACACCGAAGATTAACTATGTAGTAATACAATCAAACACCAGGTTACTTTTTTCTTATCTCGCATCGATCCTCGTCCCCGCACCATTATTTTACAACCCGTCTCCTGCTCAAGCTGTTTCGCTGTCATTCCTCGTGGTCCCAATATCCGTCCGACGAAATTGTACTAAATCAAAACGTCAATAATAATAGTAATAACAATAACAGTAATAACAATAACAATAATAATAATAATAACAGTAGTGATAATAATAATATTGTTAACGGCCTCGATGCAAGTTTCCTTAACAAATGCTTAGGAATCACACACATCTGGATGTTCTTTTGCTGGAACAAAGACTTTCTCTGTAGTGACTTGCACATCTCCTTCGGGATCTGGAAGGCTCATCTCTTCCTTCGTAAACTCGAATTGGAACAACGCCACACGCACCTTACTGATTTCTGAACAAAAAAGAAATTAATGTTAACCATCTCACAATAAAGTTCCCAAAAGCGTAAATAAACAAATAATGCTACAGCCTAACAACTCCGGAATTACTTAAGAACACTAGTGAACATTTTGCTGCATTTCTCTTCAGGCCGACTGAAATCACAAAGCGAAGAAATGAAATGTCATGGAAGTTCACCTTCATCTGCGAGTCGTTCTAGGTGATGAAATACATTTGGAAACGCTGAGAGTTGCTTTTTGTCCTTGAGCAGTTGTGATAAGTATTCAACGGAGTACTGCTGGCTGGAAGAGATATTCGAACCTGGAAGGAAATTAAGCGTCAAGATCGACAATACATATGCACTTCATAGTGACGATTATAACTAACGAGGAAAATTCATTAGAAGATACCTAAAGAACTGGGTGTGAGCAGAGTAGAGCTGGGTGGGTCAAACATGGAAACGGAATGGAACGGCAAGGTGATCCGGGCTGCACAACATTCGCTATTACACCACGCGGCCGTCACTGTGCCTAGCTGCCCTTCACGGTGCGCCTGTTCTCCTAATAGACAGATAGCCCAGCGGCCTGGAGATGCCTTTTTACGAAGCCCCAGCCCCACGTCCGCCTCAATTGAAAACATTACACCACGCAACTACGGTGGACCCTCCGCGGATCCCATTGCTGCCAAGTTCGTGGCAGCCGGAGCGAGGCCGCGAGGGATTCCCATCTATAGTTGCCCAAGGCCGATCTAACCCGCAACGCCCATGGCTGTGCTTTCGATAGTTGTAGATGTTTTTTTCGATAATCTTGATAGTTTCATAGAATGCATCTTATCACTCTAAATATACCAATGACTTTTCTGAGATATTCTTCCAATTGTAAATCTGCTTGAAGTTCTAATTCGTTAAAACAAGCAAAATACATGTCCAGAAAATTGCTAATGCAAACGTGGCAACATCAAGGACTAAGATACATGTGGGGAACACCATGCTACCCTGTTATGGGAAATGCAGACTGTTCGATTGCTTCCGTGTTCGAAGCGAAATAAGAGTCTCCACAAAAGAAGCAAAAACAGTGCGTTTCGTTGAGCCCAAAAGAAACCAGAATTCCTTCTAAGTCGAATAAGTGAATAAAATTTACTAGGAGCTAAGATAAAATTGTTTATATTGAATGGCGCTATTATTTTCGAGCAAGTGAATTGCATAGAATGCGCATTGTCCGTTACGGGGTTAGAATCTTCACTGTTAGCTGCGTTATGATCAAAGAGCAAGCGTGCAATAATGTAAACCTTATTCTTTCGGTCAATATTGCTAATCAAGTTAGATCTTGCCCTTTAGAAATTCCACCAATTGTTCAAGTTTAACAGACGAGCACAGCAGTCATGGTATAACTTGGAGTATAGGTAAGGTTGGGATAGGCCGCCTGCAGATTCCAATATGACAGCAAGCCTTTACAAGCACCAAAATGTTATCGTAAACTACAGCATGGACTATTCCTGGCTGGCACGGTGTGTTAAAGCATGTGATAATAAACACTGAGCAACATAGTTTTCGGCAAGCTTAACTATTACTTTCACGAGGGCAAGCAATTAGTATGTGCAGTGGATTTAGAGAGACGATAATATTAATGTGAAGCATATTCTGTAAGTTGGGTACCATTAGCATGGTGGTGATGGGACTGCAGAAGGGCGGCGGCCGAATCGGCGGCGGTCATTGCTGCTGGAACGGCGGTAGGATGGCCGTCCGTGGATGATGGAGCAGCGACTGGAGGTCTCGGTCCCACGGTCCCACTCTGCAACAGAAGAGCAGACCACGTTAGCCGAGCTAACCACACACACACGAGCGACGCAACGAACACAACGTCATCACACAACAACAATAGAGGCTAACGTTAAAACAGCATAGCATGAAAACCGGCTCTACTCATTGCAAGTTATTAAAATTCGCAACTTGTAAAGTGGAGCTGAGTAGAGCTGTGTTGGGTAGCAGGACGTTCCTGCACCGCCTGCGTATTCTGCCAACGAATCCACTTCCATTGACTTCACACGGAAATTTTGTTGTTGAAATTCTATGGCTAGTGAAAATTTGTGACAGAATGTAACTATGATCTGTCACAATACGAATTAACCCTACGTTTAACCCTACGTGCTTTGTTGATCACTGAAGACATTCGAGTGAAGTCGTTCAAGGACGACTTGGTCAGTACAACACTAATAGGTTGCTTAAGAACTGATCTTAAAAGAAATTTGAAAAAAAAACACGCTGACGAGACAACTGTCACTTAGAATTCTACTGAAGTGTAATCTCTTTCCCAGTCTAGATTCTACTGTGTTCTGAAAGCTACTTGAGAAAGTGGCTGTCACACGGGGCTGTGGAGACCTTCGACATTGTTTTTCTTTACGAAGAAATGAGAAAAACATTGAATGGTGTGGGAATTATCTCATATCGTTAGTGAATGATGGTGAATGCGCGAATGATTAGAATCGATTAGAAAGAGAGAAACGGGGAGAAACTGGGACAATATCTCCACATGTACTCGGCAACGACGGTGGACCGGCAGCACCCGAGACGATAGATGAAGCAGCTGACGCCCAGCGCCCTAGTCCAGGATAAGTCGGCAACTGACTCCTCGCAGACGTTCTCCACGAACTCGATCGATTAATCCGCTGACGGACGGCATCAAATCACGCGGCAGAACTCACACTTTCGAGGAACTTGGTGTACTCGGACGGACGGATTACATTCGTGACTATAGCAAACAGGAGCAACGCTACCGAACAGACGGAACAATGCCCGAACCAACGACCACGTGCAGGTATATGTAAGATAACAAAATAAGAATAATGTAAGAATTGTGGAATTATGAGGAATGAAGACTTGGCGAACCTGGAGTAGTTACTGGTCGACGTGGAGACAAGCGATAGGAGATGGGGACGCGGATAAGATGGCGACGAATAAGAGTAGACCCGTACCACTGATGTATATCATCTACAACGACCTCCAAACAAAGACAAAATAGCCCGGGCCATCTTAATAGGTGAACAGACATAACGTAACATAGAATTTGCCGACAACAGAACGAGGTCATCAACAACAATATGGAATATGTTGAGCGCGAGTACCATTATATAACAAGAGTCACTGGATTAATTCATTATCGTGAGTTCGTAAGAAGTACAAATGCATTGAGTCACGCCGTACTGAGAGCTAAGATGAGGAACGCTATGTTTTACACAGCGCCGCAAGAGCTGACAGAATGTTGACTGAGCAGCGCTTAACCCGAACTCTAAGTGTCGTGTTGCCTCCACTTAACCTCCCGCTCCATCTCCGTCAGATCGGGTGATTCTGTAGTTCATCATCGAGCAAAAATTTCAGTTCAAGAAGGTAGCGTACAGAAGCGGTCTGATTAGGAAGGGGCAAGGTAAAACATCACGATGACTGCCATTACGGCGATTCCAGTTCTGGCAAGTGAAACAGGTCGTCGCATCGACTTCGTCCGCCCACTCCCAGACATACTTCCCGATGGACTAAGTCTTGCGCAAAATGGTCTTCACAACGAAAAATATCTTCCTTCGCAATGTTTCCACCTAAGTCATTTTGCTGTATAGGCATAATTTTTTCATTTTACATAACCCATCATCACATCTACAGTGCGGTTCCCGGCAGTTTATACATTCCATTCATTTTCCTGGCATTTGTTGTTCACCGTGGTCTTCGAACACCTCCCATGTTGTTTCGGTGCTGCTTGAGGATTAGTTCGTCTTTATGAATGTTGCTAAATATTGATCGAGTCGATTCTTCTTGAAATCTCGAGGATAACCCAGTTAGGGCGCTCCCACGTTGATTGGGGAGTGCGACGGATACGGGGTCGAACAAGGACCTTGTTCCTGATGGACTCCATCACTAACCACTGTGCTATCCACCTGCCCTGGAATACGGGAATGAACTTGTCAGAAATTAGGAACATAGTAGAAATAACCCTTTCAAAGCAACTCTCTCTTCATAAAATTTCCAGCATCTTTCGACCAGCTTTTAGATGGACCGGTCCTCACATTGTTGAATGTTCAAAAAAGAGCTACTACCATTGAGTACTAAGTGACTAGAACTTCCAGTTAGTGATGTATAACATACATTAAGGACAAGTAATTAATACTAAGCTAATTAGAAGCGAAGCTAACATTGTCAGTGATTGTTATAAACGTGTCTAGGAGTTAGATGCTTCTTAAATGCAAAGTCAGAGAGCAGACAAGTGAAATCTCTTAAGCGAAACTCACTTTTGGGGATACCATCGGCGCTTCAACAACTGCTCCCAGCTGTTGTTTAGGAACTCTTTACTCACATTATTGGAATGATTGCCTCTATACAAAGCCGAAATGAATGTGGAATAAGAGAATCTATTCTTCCCAAGCAATATTTAATTGAATTTGATCGTAGGTTGGGGGTTGTAATCGTATGACCCAAGCTAGCCATCACCACGTGTTGAAATGAGCTCCACGTGATGCATAAATCTGGACGACAAATGTGCACAGTTAATTCACAAACTTTGAGGTTCAGAAGTGATCTCAAGAGTAGGCTATTTATGTGGAATACATACATACAAATCAGAACAGCTGATGCATTTTACTGCTTGCAAAATCACCCAAAATGTTTTGAAAAGAGCTTTAGTTTCCTCATTGAAACGTCAGCTATATCCCTGATCTGTTCTCATGGATTCAATATTTGGTGACCTACATGTTCGTTCCATCGCTGTTCTCCACTGGCTATAGTTTGACCATTGGTGAGAGCTCGCATGATCACTGAGTATTCAACAAACCGTGAGGATGTTCCTTGCCTCGTGCGATAGCTCTCTAGACCTGGTCTGATGTTCTAACCTGAAGAATAGCAGCTGTAAACTTAAATGTGAAGTGTAAAGATGTACAGAGTACAGAAGGAACAAAGTTCCAAGAGAAATATTGGCTGTAAGGTTATACTTTGGTGCTTTCAAGTTAGTGACGATGTGTGATGGAAACAGGCGCTTCTCTTGTTGGCACATACCGCCACAGAGGTGATTCGAAAATTTAAGCACTCAGAATAAGCACAACAAAAAATGAGAGTTGACCAACGGAAGCGAATGTCGGTAGTGCAAGATAGCGCGTTAGAGTGTCGATAATGGAGGTTATGTGCCGCAGTAGTGACGAAGAACATATGGACTGGAAATGTGTCGCTTTTTATTCCAGATGTGGCAGTTCGCTCCCGTTTGCTCTTACCGAGGACTCAGCACTGCTATTTTGAATGCCTAGCTTGTGAAGGCGCTTTCGAGAAGATCTTTCACGAAATGTGTGAGAGAGCTGTTTAAAGAACTAGTCATAACTCTCTACTTCAGAAAAATGCTGTATTCGGAACCGTGCTCATGTTGGATCAATAAATGAGAGTTGTCATTTCCTTTGAAACCAGAAAATGTCGCAACCTCAGTGAAGGATTTCCGTCAAGGTCGTCACTGTTCTGTCGTGCACTTGACGCACAATCACATTTGCGAACACACAGGCGGACAAGTCCTGGAAACCACTGCTGAGGCCGACAGAAGACGTCGTGAATTGCAGCGAAGTGCAGTGCAGTCCCATTACCTTTTCGGTAAGGACAAGAAAACAGCAAGAGTAACGACATACATGGTCCTTTCTGAAGGCTTCTTGAGATTTCAGCACTACAAAATGAACCATTGAACTGCAATTGAGAAGTGGCAAGCAAGAGTAAAGTAAAGCACAAATTTCAGGAAAAAATCTGGATAGTCAAACGGATAAAGTGTGATGATGATAATGCGCCATTCAATATAAACAATTTTACCTTAGCTCCTAGTAAATTTTGTGATAATGATGACGTCGATAAAAGACTAATTCGGTAGGACACGTCTGTTCTCCGGCTCGCAGCAGTACAACATCGCTTTTCGTCGTCATCACTGTCGACTTAATCCAAATCCTTTGTCAACGGGAAAACCAGTCTTCTCGACACCTCACCACCACCACCACCACTGTCGCACAGGTGAAATCATTCGAAAAGCCACCAAACTATGAAACTAATGTGCAGTGAAAACTGGATGCCTAAGGGAATAAGAAAGACCGAGCGAAATGACTCTGAGGAACGAAAAAAAGTCGTGCTAACTGAAACAAATGAAGACTGGTAGAAATTTCTTCAGCGTCTTTTAAAATTTAATCAATACGTCCAAAATTCGGCAAGAAGACTGAGATATATGCAAAATTCGGAAGATTAGGTGCGTTTAGAACTCATGACTACCCTTTTCGTGGTCTCACATTTTACCCGTTGCACCACCAAAGGTCATTGTTTTGCCTTTCTATGAGCCGTTTTTTACCCTAATGAGGTTATCAGCAATCGCTCGTCAACAGGAATGATCTGGAGAGCAAAAATCGTCATTAAACCCACTTAAATTGAAGCCGAGTGGGTGGGTAGCGTTGTGACGACGGTGCCGATCATCGCGAGCACGGTCCTCGCTCCGTGCTCACCAAACTTCCCATCCTTTTAGGGTTGGCCAATCGGTACCAGGCTAATTAGGGAAATGCTCACAGTCTGTAACGCAAGTGGAAACGCTCTAGCACGACTATCTCAGGAGACTCGAGAGATAGTAGACTCGACCAACATTCAATAACATTGATAAAAAAGACGAAATCCTCAAGCAGCAACCGAACCCACACGGAGGTAGTTGGAAGGCCTTCGTGGCTGATGATTGCACGGAAACGAATCGAATGCCAGAAGTGCAGGGATACACACAATAGATGTGAAAGAAGGGTTTTGAGAATAAAAAATAAGAAATAAACAAGATAAAGCTATAGGAGAGATTACAACATTTCAACTTTTATTGTCCAAAAGTGCAATCCGTGGACGAAACCATCTAATAACCTCTATGTTTAAAACAAAGCAAAAGAAAATCAGCAGAAGAGTTGTCAGCTCACCGCTTCTGTGACGGCACCCTAGATCTGAGCACAGTACTCTCTGAATGGAGTGGCTAGGATGGTGGGCGTTTCGGTTTCAGTAGGTGAATGAACTACTGGGAGTTATGATGAAGTCACGATAGAAAAAGATCGACAATAGCGCCAAAGTGTAGAATTTCACAGGCGCATACGACTACCCCCAAAAGAAAACCAATATCGTCTGGCCTCTAAAACAGTCATAGTAGCAGTTCGGTACGATTTTAGTACGGGAGCTATAAAAGAGTAAGCATAAGAGCAGAAAAACAGAGGAATCTGCTGAAAAGTGTCCCAGTGGTCAGTTATCGATTGCGTACCTACCGATTTTCACAACGTTTGAAAACGATGAGTGGAGGATTAAGAGGAAAAGAAAGAAATATAAGAGGATGAATCTGAAGAGGTGGAGAACGAACGAATGAAGGGAGAGTGTGCGTGGCCACATGGCGGATGTGTAGCATGATCCTGATGGGTGAGTGAGGTAGTGGTGGGAGAGGATCAATGGCATTCAAACGGACGTGGCGGACGCCTGATTGGTCTTGACCTTGGCCACCGATGCCCTCCCACCCACCCGCCGTCTACAAACATTTGCCGGCGGCTTCCAGGCACTTGACTTCTTCGCGTTCTGGAACCTTCTCACGAAGGTCGATACAGCAGCAGAGTCTTCATCGGGCGGAACTATTGTTGAATGGCTCAAAGAGTTTCCCATTTCAAAACTTTCAATATTCATTGCTGTTCGGTGAAAGCGCGAACAAATACGTGGGCGATCGAGGGGTTCGCATACACATTTCTATTGTATAGGAACATTCCTATGGGGTCTCTAGGACGTCGAATTTTTAACTTTTAACTTTATTTTACTAAGGTGAATGGTTATTACCAGAAACCTCACAATTTACGGAACAAATACCTAGGTCTTCCCATTACGGTAACGTTCTAGGCTTCTGGAGTCACGAATTTTCTGAAGACATTTCCAACAGAGACTTGATTATTGAGGACAGATGTCTCAGAGATTGTTTTCCTGACTGATTGTGGATGAGACCGGACGAGAAGTTCCTATCCCTCCAAAGTTATCTGTCGCGTCTCTCAACGAGCTACTTCTGAGCGTTCCGCTCGATCGGCGATCGATCCCGATCGATACAAGCAGATCGCAGTCGTTCTTGATCCATTTCGTCGATTTCCTCCCATTCACTGACAAATCTTTTGTACTGTAACGATGGTATAGGATTCAGAATGTTACATTGTGTGGTTCGATTTGTTGAGTACAAAAATGCTATCACAACGTTCATCTGATGGCAGTTTCGCACTAGGACCTTTGAAACAGATTGCGTTGAGAAGAGCAGGTCAAGCTCTTCATAATTCTGACCTTCTCACTTTGAATCCGTTCATGTTTGTCAAATCGTTGTCCAGGTTTTATACGATGTCTGGAAGCCGTATTGTCTAAATCTGCTCGGACTGGCGCTTAGTCATGTTTGATAGGAACTATTTTAGCTTCAAGGTACTTCTCTTCTCCATTTTGCTAGCCTTTGGAGCACTCTATCCATGTTGAGAACGCCAAGGATTGTTCAAGTTCAAGTTTGCTTTTTTCTCCTTTTATTCTTACATTTCTAGCGAATTGCTATAAAAATGTTAACGTAAAAACTTGAAACGGAATGACCAGCTTAAATGCATATACTATGAATACGAAGGATGAATCGACAATTAGGAATATGGGGTAGGAATTTTAAAGATAGAAGTCAACACCTACTTCAGGAAAACCAGTAGTTGTGAGCTATTTTGTAGATATACCACAGGAAAGCTCACTTGGTGAAAATCACCACTCTTTATGACAAGTAGTGAACTGAAGAGGGCGTAGACCAAATACTAGGGAGGATCCAGGACGACGATGTTGTAGACGGATGGCGGGCAGTGAACCAGTCGGCCAACTCCGACGCAGAGCTCGATGAGATGACGACGTTGTAAAGACAGCGAAGAGTTGAGGCCGAGTCTCGTGACACTCACGCTGCCTACTGTAGAACTCGATCGATAGAGCTGGTCTGTCAGGTCGGATCGGATTGGGTCGGGCCCAGTGGGCGCAGCTCGCTCTCGGCTGGACATGGTTAGCACCCACCACCCACCCAATGGGACTCCGGCGGCAGCCGACTCGCCGACGCCATTCCTCGGTGGCCGGCAGTCAACAGGCATTATTTGCTCGTTGTTGGCGGGTGAGGAATTGTTTCGACATTTGCTTAAGACGGCCACAATATGCTGTTCTCCGTCTTGGATGTCACGTGTGGGGAACAAAATATCGGTGCTCATACAACGGAGCTTCAGAATATTAGCGTTGCTGTCAAAAGTGCCTTTATGGAGTAGAAACTGGCAGCATTTTACGCGTATTTGAAGGCAAGGAAGGGAAACTAGTTTGAAACAAAGTGTCAGAGAAATCTATCTATCTACGACGACGAAACAAACGGGACCACGAAATGTGCTGGCCGGGTAAACGGCATGAGGATTGTGAATTAACATGGATGATATTTGCTAGGACGGAAGTTCTTCACCAGAAGTGATCAGGAAACCGGCCAGCTTTTCATGTAGTCCATAGCTAATGGAGGCGTTTCTTACTGCTAGTTTTTTCAGTCATCGTGACAAGAGTTATTATCGCTTTTAAGTATCTCTGTTCATAACAGATTGTGTTTGTACGTCTTTAATTCATAAAAGGATAAAGGATAAAGTTCTCTGCGTTGATCAATACTTGAGGGATGCGCCTTGCACTCGACTTCATTAAACACCGACCGCGGGAGGATGGAAGGCTTGGTGAGCCATGGGCGTGGGGACGATTGAACGTGTGTGTTGCAGGGCGCTTCCGACCACTGCGCCACACGCGCCACCTTTAGCTTATAAAATACCTTAAATGATAAATTTTTTTCAATATTTGGCTATAGAGCAGGACTTTTTTTGCCCCTACACTGTTGGAATATTCAAGGCTGTATCGACTAACTAAGGGCAATTAAACTCAAAGTCGGAAACCCAACTGTTACGCAAACATCGTCATTAGCCGACGTTATAAAAACACACTCATGAACGCTGAACGGCACGGAATCTGTGGGCGATAGAACTATGTAAAAACTTCGAGCTTGTTTCGAGCGTCCGACTACTATGGGCATTCTTGGTGATAAAATCCGATTTTTAGGTTCTGATGATTTAGGTGTATGAGATAATTTGCAGTAGACATCTTTTTTGTGAAGTGTTCTTCATCTTGATTCCGATGAAGTGCTGATTTTCTCCACGTGGCGGCTTCCAGTGAGACGGCTTTCGTGCGGAACACAATCACATATCCTGAGTTAGTTTTGATGACATTCAGATGAGCGACAGCTGAGCATGTGATAACCTATTTTGTGTGGTGGCCAATTTCGTCATCGAGAAATGCAATATTGGGCACTCAGTAAATGTCCATTGCCAGGCGTGCCTCAAAATAGATGCTCATTAACCGACGTTAGGAGCGAAATGAGAAGATTCAACCTACAAGCCGTCATCAAACACTGCGCCGTCACCGTCAGATATTGGGTGCTAATGAACAAGCACTGTGAATGACATCTATGCCTTGAAGCGACTTTTTTGGCTTTTTTATCAACCATTTACTACATGCTAGTCAGCCCACAACTGCTACGTGAGAATAGAAAACTTTCACATTTTTATAAGAATGCGTAACTGTTCTGATATAAAATACGTTACCACTGAATGAACGCCTCCCATAAATTATCTCGGCGCTTGCGTTACAGAGTTTGTTAGGAAATTTACTAGCGTCACGATAAAGTATCATGATTTTCAGATCTGTCAAGTGAAAGTGTCAAACGATCTTCTTGAAAGAGTTGTGTTTGGACGACACCAAGCCTCTGATCTGATAAGTTTTATCGAGAAATGTGCTACTTCACACAAGACAGTTACCATCACTTTACTCAGTTGGTCGTCGATTCACTCGAGCAGATTCTTCTCATCGACCGGCGATTTTCAACGCGTTGATTCGATTGCCCTCCACATCATTCAGAACCAGTCTGTTTATCGCCTGAAACATTACAATTTCTTCTTGGAGAGCTGGAACGTCACAGGACAGTAATGCACTTCGACACCGACGTTCATTCGAACATTCGATTAGCACTGGCAATCTAGTTAGTTTGTAACTATCATGTGGTCGTTAGTTGAAGTTAAAACGCCCCATAATTCTAATAAATCTCGAATTTGGACTTACATGACATTTAAACTCAAGGTCGGGAGAATAGCACTTATGAAGAATGAAATAGGTAAAACCATGCTCTTCAAAAAGACACAGAAAGAAGCAAAGAAGTCAAGAAAGAAGTATGTCCTCATGTGTTTCCTTGATTTGGAACCTTTGTTTATTTTTTAGAACAAAACAACGATGACCATGGATTCGTAACCAATTCGGTTCTTTGCATTAGGAGACAACTAGGCCATATTGGCGATAATCTCTTGTAGTAACTTTTATGGCGGACCGAATTTTCGCATTAGAGAGTTCGAAGTGCACTTGTGCTAATGCACTTATTACTGCTAAACTAGAACAGTATTTGCTGGTTTGTAGTCTGTTATGAGGTGGTGCCGGAACCGAATAGTGTCACCTTTCGCACTTCTGCAAGAATAGACGCATCTGAAAAGGTTTAGCGTTCCTTTGCGAAGCTTCCTTGCCTGGGTAAACCAAGGTACCAGTTGGTACTGAATTTTAGGTCAAGTCGAGAAGGGCGGGATAAATCCACCACTGTTAGTTATTTTTCATGTAAGCGTTTATTCAAAGAGTTCCTATCTTTTCACTGGCTGCGCTTACAGTGGCTATAATCTTGTCACTGCAAAATAATGGAATTGACTTTTCGATACACAACTCTTATAACCGTGACATTTAGCAGGGGTGACGAAGACCAGAGAGTATGTCTTAATAAGTAACGTCTCTAATCATAGCCAAACAGATCAGTGCTCGTTTTGAGGCTAAATTCCAATTACACTCAATTTTCTTGCTTTATCCATATATGTCAGGCCAGTCGAATATTTTGCATGAATACTTACACAAGTTTTTTTAAGCTCTTCATAATCTTGGATTCGTATACTGATTCTGCTACACCAGTCTTGCATCTAAGCACAATACCACCTATCTGACGGGTGGCTTATGCTGTGGGCATGTTGTGACGAAATTCTAGTCCGATATGTAGTCCGACTTTTTCTGGTCTGGTGTTCGGATCTGTTTCAATAAACCTGTAAATGCTAAGAGAGGTTACACTTCTTTTTCTAGACTGTTTCTGAAATTCATCTGGACCATTTTCGTAGCCGTTTGTCGTTAGTGATATCTCGATATTCTCGTTGAGGAAACACGAGGTGTTTACCTTATTCTTTATTCCGTTAAATTTCGGCGGATTCCGCCTTCTTCGGAGCCTGCAAGAGTATACTGATAGGCAATTTACTAAGTCAAACACACCAGTAACACATACAGAAAGATGAAAATCTAAATCGCAATCACACGATCAACAGCTTCTCGAAAAAATCCACCGTTTATTACGCGCCTTCCACTGAGGAAGAACAGCTGATCAGCGTCGCATATGGTCGATAAATGCACCACGCCACAACAGAAGTCGAATCGAAGGTACGGGGCCAGATCACGTGTGATCTCCGGAGATTCCTCCCGGCTGATCATTCTAGGGTTCCTGGTATTTATCCAAAAAACCTCTAGAAGTTTGCGCATTGGTGTTATCGCATCCTGTGCGAGGATAGTGGCTTTAATATCAAAATTGCCTCCGGTATGTTTTTGTATCCTATGCATCCCTAGTTGGGTACTTAGTCTTCCTCTTCGTTTTCCATCTAGGTGTTCTTTTATGCGGATACATAAAGGTCTGCCCGTTTCGCCAATATATTCATCTCTGAAAGTACCACAAGAGATCAGGTGTGTCGTACCTGAACTCATGCACTCACCGTCTTTGCCGTAAGGGCAAATTACGCAGCGTTGTGTTTCGCATAGACGGTCATATAGTCGGTTACGAACTACTTGACGACGAAGGGAATCGAGTGGTATTTCAACTATCGCTAATGATGTCAATACGTTCGCGACACTGTGCATTGATTTCGATGCGAATCATGCGTGAAATGGCTTTTTTCAGCTTGAAGCCGACATATCTCAGCCCTCGGTGAACCACATCAGTTGGAATAACATCGTGAGATTTAACACATCTTGGTCTAAAAAATATTTTTTTTCTGTCTTATACATAATTTTTACTTTTCAATTATCCTTTTTAAATCAAGGCTTATAATTCGAACTGCAAAACAATTGAACAGGTTTTGTCCAACAGGAGACAACGGTGTTCTCCAACGTAACGATGGTTTTTGCGGAAGTATTTTTCCATACGATTACAAGGTTCTCAGTTCCCCCATTACTCTGTTAGAGAGAAAATCATTTCCGGTTATCGACAAACAAAGTTCATTGCTAATCTGTCAATGTAGCAATGCCTTTGTTCTTATTCCCACTTTTTATCTTATTCGCATTTGCGTTGCCTTCACCACATGACGGGGGTGGGACTATGCCATTCCGGGAGTTTGAAATAGACAACACTATCATTCTATTCTTTGATTCACGTATTCTTTCTTTGATAAGCTAACTCGAGGTTGATAAACAACTTTATTCGGCTACGTTTCGACCTCTTCGTCTTCCGCAGAGTCGATAATCTGAGCCAATGTTCACAGTCCTTCGTATTCTCCGGGCAATCCCGCAAACAATAATCTTTCTGTAAGAGAGAGCATTGCCAGGTGAAGTCGCCTCATTTGACTGGTGCTCCACTGAAGAAGATAAGGGTGGATATGACGACGAAAATACCACATCGAGAGTACGAAGGACTGTTGATATCTACTCGGGTCATCTGCTCTGAAGAAGACGAAGATGTCGAAACGTTAGTCGAATAAAGTTATTTGTCAACCTCGTGTTAGCTTACCGATGAAGGAATACAGGCTGATTAGTTATACTGAGGTTGAAGGAAAGTCAGTTCTTAAAGCACTGTCATTTAATTCTTAGAATAGGTGCTGTTTTCTTACATTTGCTCGAAATCGAAATTTCTCTTTTCGTGAATTCCCGAGGAGCCTGAGGCTGCTTGCCAGCTCGCTAAGCGCGCTATGTGGAGTTGATTTCGGCGATAACTCACAATAAATTCGGTGAGGTCGACAAAAGTTCTCAATATTTTAATGACGATCCAAGCGAGAGAATAACATATGTCATCTGATTAGCAACTGTTTTTATCAGCGTTCCTTTAAGATCCATGCATACAAAGTGTTATTAA